CTTGTGCTACTCATAGAAGTCTCAGGGTGTAGTAACTGAGAGATAGCAAAAGCTATTAAGTTCTGAAAGGAAATTGACTTTTTATAGTGACGAGGCAGCCAAGTTCTGGAGGATAGCATAGTTTTTCTTTAAGCATTTCTCCTGATTTCTCTATCAGTTGTTTTTCTGTTTGTTTTCTTATGGATTTGTAAACAGTAAAAATAAAGGTGATTGTTGAAGCATTGGTGTGGCTGATCAAGACAATCCAGGCCTTTTTTTTTTTTTCTTTTTATACTGTTCTATAGATCCTCTATTGCACATTTACCCCCTACAAAGGTAGAAGCTATTTCTGTTAGGTCTTACTCATGATTTTTTCAGCTGTAATTCTCAAAGTTTCCAATTTTCCAATGAGCAATTACCTAGATTTCACTGATTCCTCAATTGTCATCCTAAGTCTTTACGTTTGTATTTTTTCCAGCATCTTCCCCCAAGTATTAGCATGTTTTTCTGTGTGAGGAAAAGTTTTCATCATCTGTTCATTCTACAGTAAACTCTTGGCTGTTTCGGCCTGCTACTTTTAGGTTTTTTCACAGTCCTAGATAAAAAGTTGATCATTCAAAAAGGGAAAAGTTTGAAAGCCAATACAAACCCATAGGAAAATAGTTAAATAGAATCTAATTACAGTGTGAACTATTGCTTATTCTCAATAATTTATATTGGAAACATCCTCTTCCTATAAAGATAATTTCTAAAAGTGTTTCAGTATTCTAGATGTTAATCATGTTGGTTGTTCAGTTTTTGTTTTTTAATACATTCTGAACATCTCATTTATATCTTTTACTCTCAAATAAACATGCTTTCAGAGTTTCAAATACAGAACACTAGGTGTCCATTTACATATATGTGAGTGAAAATAGTTTTGTTTCATTTGTTATATTATGATAATGTACAATCTCTAACACATCTTGTGCAATATTAAAGGAAAATATTGTCCGTAAGAGTCTAAAAATACTGGTCACAAACAGAATAGTGGAAGGCAATTGAATACTTTAAATTAGTACTGTGAGCAAAGACTACAATGTCTTGCCAGTATTTATTGTATTCCTTTTCTGAATCTATTTCCAGGCAGTGAAGTGTTAACTGCTGTAGCTGTTATGCATATCAGTCTTCTAAGGAAACTTAAAATTTTGAAGAATTCTAAATTTCTAGTAATGAGCAAGAGAACCTCATGGCAGAAGCTAGTAACATTTGTTCTGTGAGGAAACCAGAGGTGGTTTGGTGACAGACAGCTACGTATAGTTCTGTTGCATTTCATGAATTAAGAAAGTGTGTGGCTGTTTCTTGCAGAATTTCCTGTCCAGTCTGCCATTCATTGATGTCTCTTCAAGAGAAGTGCTGAGATGTTAACTCCCACTCACATGCAAGGATATTGAAACCTGTGAAGTAACAATGAGCTTCAGAAACACATTTCAGAGTACTGAGAGACATATGGATATGGCCTGACATAATTTTCTAGATCTAGATTTGGAAGATTTTGCTTAATATTTCAATTGATTACACAGACACAGTGGAATAAATTAGTTAGTTAGTGGTTAGTTTGAAAGGAGAGTTGCTTTTACATAACCAGTTTTTAATTTCAAGCAAAGATAATGGTTGTATTGTATTTGATATTTCTTGCAAGCCCCCAAATCGTTTTCCTACAAGCTCTGCAGCATTACAAGAAATAAAATTAAAAAAAGAAAACCAGAAAAACATTAAATACGTACTGAGCTGTTTTAATGTGTGTCAGCTGTTAATGAAGGACGTAATAATAGAGCTGTAAAGAAAATTCATAAAATATTGTCAAGAGGTTTAAATGGTGAGGGGAAATATCTTAATTGTTGAATTTAATTTTCTGGAGTTAAGTTCAGGCCCCTGGGGTCTGGAATATCCAATCTTTACAGAACCAGGGTTGAGGTATGAATCTCACTCTTGAAAGATCAAATTGCTGCCGAACTTGCATTAGAAGGCATTCAGAATGTGAGAGATACCCTGGTTAGTGCAGCAGCAATAGAGGTAACGTAATCCAGTAGTTTACACACATGCATGTGTTCAAATCATCTTTAAGCAAAAGGCAATTTATTAAAGGTATAATGTATTTTCTAACATTTACTTGCAGTGATCTGGGGTTCGGAGGGTAAAGGATGTAGAGTTCATCTCTGTTGCACAATACGACAGGTTTGAGGGTGCTTTGTCTTCTGCAGAGCATCAGGAGAGAGGGGGAAGAACTGGAGTGTTTTCTCCAAACCACCTCCTAAGGAGTAAAGAATAACCTAGAGGGGGACTGTCCTCAGATACAGGGTTATCTGGAAAGGCTGTGTTGTGAAATGTAAATCACTCTTGGCAGCGTGTCTTGTTGGAGAAACTCAAGGGCAATTGAGATTGTTGTATTTCTTTATGTAGAGCTACAGCTCTCTTGATTCCCATAGCATTCCTACATAAATAGTGCTTACACAGATATTTTTTTTTGGAGTTCCTTTAAGAGTTGTTTGTTGTGAAAAAGCAGACTTGATGGTTCCTCCTTAGAAGAGTACAACAAAGATGCAGATCTCTTGTCAGAAATTCTTTGTTTTACCTTTGTAAGAGAATATACCTTTTTGTGCACTTGAAAAGATGACTTACTTTACATTTGGATATTATATTCATTTGATAAATATGGCAAGTCCTAAACTTAGGCTTTCGTCTTTGAATGGAAGATCACTTACAGAGCAGAGGCATTGTTTTGTCCTTTTGAGGGGCCCTGTTACTTTTAACTATTGCTTCAAATTTCCTTAGATTCTTTTCCTACCAGAAACAAAACAAAAAAAAAAAGCCCAACATTTGATAATAATAATGGTATTTTAGTCCTAATAAGTTTAATTAACTTACCACTGAGAAAATACTTTTATGATATCTTTTTGTATTTATTCCTAGTCTCAAGGGATTTTTGACTCTGTGTTAGCATACCAGAAATACGTTATTTGGCTGAGCCTGTGAACAGCTTGAGCTCTAAGCACTTTCTCACTAGAATTTAGGAAATTGCCACTTTCTTGGAATGGAAATATGCATTTCTGCTGGGTGTGGTTCTCCTATCTCACGCCTGGTCACCTGGGTGGATCTGACTTGATCTCAGACTTCGAGAATGCATTTTCCTGAGGAAAGTAGAAACAGTAGTTAGTAACCTAGTAACTCCCCTTACACAGTGATTTGCTTTAAACACTTGAAAGACATTTGTGTCCTGAAGTTAGAAATAGAAGTCAATTTGATTTTGAAACTCCTCATTCCTTGGTTATTGGCTCTAGGTATGAAGCGTGGAGCGCCATTTTGTCTCTTGCTTTTGTCTTGTCTGCTTAAACCAAGAAGTGACTAAAAATAGCCTGGAAGATGGACAGAAGAACTGGATACAGTTGTCTGATATATCGTCACTGATAATATTTTCAGTTACTGATTATTCATATTATTATCTTTTGGGAAAGATTACCAAAAATTCTAAGACAGTTCTGTTGACATTTAGAGCCATCATTTTTGTTTGTTTTGTTTTTTTTCAATTGAGCTCTGTGCAGAATTAGATACAATATAGTACATTATAGTACATGGTGCCATGTATCAGATCCTCATGATGATTAACGAAAGCAGATTTTAATGCTAAGATAAAGTCTCTTAAAATATTGTTAGAATATGTATTTCTCAAATGGATTTGAACTTTCTTCCCCTTTCTTCAAACTTATTTTTCAAAAACTTTAGCACTCGGAAAATAGGATGAGACCTAAAGCTTCTGAGATTTAGACCAGGAAAGAAGGAAGTCCTTGAAATTGTAGCTAACTGGTAGAAGCCTCAGGCTCTGTCTGGTTCTTGGAAGATCTAGGATTAAAATGAGAGTTTGTTTCCACTTTTAGCTTCTGTGTTGTATTCTTATGTCAGAAAAGAAAGAATTGACCACAAAATGATAAGCATGAAATTGACTCCAAATCTTCTTTTTGCTGATACATGCAGCCATGTGTTTGTATGCACAGATATGTTTCTTGATTACCTGGTTTGGGAAGGACTTCACTACTGGTACAGATCCAGGAGGCTTAGATCAAAATACCCCATTTCTCAGCTGACTGTCCTAACCAGTATCCCATTTAACATTTCGTGCTCCGTTGGTCTGTCATCCTTTTTTAAAGTTGTTATTATTCTTTCCATACAAAAAAAAAATGACGCTGGTTCTGAAATAACATCTGTATTTTGAACTTGAGAAAGAGATATGCTCTGACCATGTAGCAAGTTGCTTCCTTCAGGAAAAAGTTGCCAAATTGTCTTTCCTGTTATTATTAAGGAAAAAAAAAATCCTAAATTAGACATGTATCTCTAACAGGTGTTTGTGCAATCTGTTTTCCTATGGAGGGCAGCTTTTTCTTGGGTACAGTTTTAGAAGCAGAGTGGTGAGGTTGTTACAGTCTGACTCAGGAAGGGAAGCTCAAGAGGAGCTGGGGTGGGTTAGGTGACCTGATGGAGTAAAGATGTGTTTCCAAATCTCTGTAGTAGAGGGAGCGTCATTCTGTTATGTATATAGACAGTAGATTGAACAATGACAAGGAAACTGGAGGCATGGGGAGTGATTGCAGCTTCTTCCTCTGTTTTATTGAAGAATTTCTTTACATTGTGAAAGAGGAGATTTTTGGTTCTGGATCTCCATTCAGGAATCTGTCTTTCTTACCAGACTTTAGAAATGTAGAAGAGCGTAGAGTATTACATCTAAAAAAAAAAAAAAGTAGAAAAAAAATGAGTTCACTTTGATGGAAGAGTATTATTACAAATGCTGTGTTAACAGAATTTTCTCCAAAGGTAGACTTCAGGTAAAGAAAAGATTCCTTTTCCTTTTTTTTTTTTTTGGTCAGTTTGCTATACAAGTAAGCCTAAAATAAGTATCTTCCAACAGTTTTCTCGCTGTAGTTGAGAATATTTAATTCTTGTTTTGTAGGTGTGTTGTTTAATTCTGTTCTTACATTTTTTTGTTACAGGAGCTAGAGTTAATGCCAAAGACAGCAAATGGTTGACTCCTCTACATAGAGCTGTGGCATCTTGTAGTGAGGTATGCTTTTTTTTTTTCTTTTAAACTGCTTTGTATTATTTTAGAATGTCTCGAAGTACCTTCTGTTCTTTGTTCAGTTATTATGAAATGCAACTTCTCCAAACGTTTTGAGTTGCAGAACACCTGCACCGTTTGTTTAACAGGCTGATGGTATGTACATGTATATCATATGTCTGCGTAGGAAGAAAGGGGGCAAACAAACACAGTTCTCAGCTTTGCTTTTTGATTAAATGCTACCTTCCTAGCAGAAAAGATTGTGTGTGTAATATTCCGAACTCCTCTGCACGTTTTTTGTAACCAGAATGGTTCAGTATGAGGGAACTAGAGATAAAATAAGATTTAATATGGCTTTTGCAGCATAATCTGTCTTTTTTCGTACTAGTCTGTTCAGACTTGAAGAAATATATGATTCTATGAGACCTGCAAAAACATTTAAGAAACAAAAGACAAAAAATCTCCATTAATGAGTAATGATAGTACTGTAAACAAAACTTGTAAATGAAATATTTGGAACATTTTTGAAGCCTGGCTGTAACACAGCTATGGGAATATAGTGATTTAAGTGTACATTTGTTGTTGTTCCTCTATTGTTGTTGTCCTAATAAAAATTTTAAATGCCTGTACAAGATCAAAACAAGCAGAAAAATGCTGAGCTTTTGTGGAAGAGTTCATAGAGAGCTATCTTCTTTGAGATCTTGAGTCACATTGATGCTCACTTCAGTATGTCTCAAAAGTAAAAGTGTTTTGGTTTTGTACTGATTATTATTACTTTTTTTTTGATGCTTCTGTGCAAACTTTTGCTTGAGAAGAAGCTCAGTGCTTGCAAAAACCGTACTATTCAATTCCATCAAGTATTTGATCCATGAACTATCTAAACAGTCACTGTGTCAGCTTTTGCCTTGGATAAGCTGTATTATTTTATTGCTAGCATTAGTAGCTAAGTTATGTGGGGATTGTGTTATTCAAAGCAGTGTTTGAAAATCGATCTCTGAGGGAGCCCTTAGTAGGAAACACTGTTTGTTCTTTTTGTAGTATTTTTAGGCTGCTCCTTTGGGAGCTCTCTTGAAGCACCGATACTTCATTCCTCAAAGGGACAAAACTTCATTAAATCAGTAAAACATGCAGAGAGGAGTGCTGCAGTCAAAACAGGACTTAAGTTGTAACTAAAATGAACATAATCACTCTCCTTTTTAAAAATGTGGAATATTTTCAAGAAAAAAATACAAAGCGGAGGCAAACAAAGCTTGTAAACCAATCAAATGATTTGTCCTAGTGGCACTGACAGGCTCTTATCAAATTTTTCTGTTTGTAAGCATGGCATGTCATCGGAGACCATGTAGATGCAGCAATGGTTGATGTGTGTGGGGACTGCTTTGTATTCATCTGACATTCATCTGAAGTTTCCAGCCGTTAGATGAAAATATTCTTGGTACTCGTTTCAACAAAGCATGTGGTCTTAGCCTTGAAGCAAGGGCACTGCGACCAAACAAGGACGTTGCATCGTGCAAAATAGCTGGTATTGTGGATTTTGCTGCCAGCTGCATGAGTTCAAACAACTTCGTGTCAACACTGCAGGAGTCTAGGCCTTCATATGTGCATACCTGGGAAAATCTAAGCAGTTTTGCTAATCTTTGCACGTCATTAAATACACAGTGAAATGGAAGATAAATTATGCTGTTTTCCTATTTTACTATGGTGCTTCCTTCTGCAAAATAGTTAATAGGTGTTTTAAAATATCACCATTCTGATTATAATTTTTCTTTAGATTTGGTTCAATGTAGCCAACAGATCAAAATATTGACTAAATTTTGAAGTATTAAGTCTGATGAACTTTCTCTAAGAGAATAGAAAATATTCAATTTCACACTTAAGTTACAAGCTTCTGATGTCACTTTTATGTTTGTTCCTTATGTTTTTTTTTTTTTTCCTTATGTTTTTTTTGTTTTTTTTTTTTTTTTTTAGGTAGAAGAAAATTCCATTAATTAGATATAAATTATATTATCAGTGTTACTTAGCATTCTGCTTGTAGGTAAAACTGCTCTATTGAATAGTGTCAATATTCTTATATCTATTGTAGATTTCATAGAAATAAATAGGAGGCATTGCTTTCAGAGAGACCTATTTTTGTGCTCAGTGTTTGAGTTGAAATTCACTTAAAGCAGTTAGTGAATTGTGGGAAGGACATGGCGTTGATGTGAAGTGCAGTATTTATTACCGTGGTAATGTCAGTGAGAGGGTCTTTTTTCTGCCTTGCAGTTATGTGCACATATTTTAGTTGGATTTGTTTATCTTACTCATAAAGTTTTCATAGCTTTTGCATCTAATGAAAGGAAATAAATAATCTTTTTGAGACGTGGATTTTGGTGTAACATTTTGAAACGTTTTTTCAGGAGTTTCACAAGAGTGTATGTTGAAACTCTTTATGACCATGCTCTGTTTTATCTGTGGTTCTTTAAATGTACATTTAATAAGTTACTCTGTCTTTCTGCCATTTCTAGACTTTTTCAGTTCCAACATTTCGCTTGGCAAATAGATGAAAGTGCATTTTAGGTTTATGGTATGTCACTAATCCTTGGTAATGAAGGAAGTCCTAGGGAGGTTTATTGAGCTTTGTAAATTAGTTGTGTTGACAAAAACAATTTGCCTGCTGGTTTGGGGAATTGGAAAAAAGACCTGGAAACGGTTGATGCAATTGAAATCTGTAGGGAATATGTTCTTCATGTCCTTGAGAAGATCCCAAGTCTGGATTTATGGTAGTACAAATCTCAAGGAATAAGAACGTTAACAAAAGAACAAGTTGCAGACAGTTGTTTTCCATTATGTGTTATATATAGTGTGTGGTTTGTATATGCTCATGTGTATTTGGATTTAACACGTAACATCTGAAATCTTTACTGAGTGGCTTTATTTTTTTGTAAATGTTCTCAGGATGCTGTTCAGGTGTTGCTAAAGCATTCAGCAGATGTCAATGCTCGTGATAAAAACTGGCAGACACCCTTACATATAGCAGCTGCAAATAAAGCTGTGAAATGTGCCGAAGCTTTGGTGCCTCTTCTGAGTAATGTAAATGTGTCTGATCGGGCAGGTAGAACTGCGTTGCACCATGCAGCCTTCAGTGGACACGTAGAGGTATGAATTAATTATCTTTGCTTGCTTGCTACTTACTGTTCTGTCCAACACACTTCTAATTTTTTATTTCTTGGGTAATAATCATGTTTTCCCCTCCCATCCCTTCAAAAACCGCAAACCAAGCTCCTGTTTCGTATTTTAGTTTGTCTTTTACGTGCATTTGTGTACAAATTGGTTGTGTTACATCATCTAGTTGGAAGGTTATTACAGTATTCACCTCTCTGGATATAAGCAAATTTGCCTGAGTGGAGTTTAAATTAGTAATAATTTTCAAACCCTGAAAGTGACAAGCTTGGCACTTGGCTTGGTTTGACTTGACTAGGATTGCCAGTTCAGTAATTACCTTTAGTACACCCCTTAGCCTGAAGATCTCTTCTTTGCTGTATTTGCCACATATTTGCCCTGCTTAGCTTATAAATGTTTCTGTTAACATTGAATTAAGGGACTTAGTCATTCTGTTATTTTTGCCAAGGTGGCTGGGCAAGTTTCTTTAAGCACAAGGAATATTTAAAAAAACAGCACATTTAAATTCTTTGAAAACACATAATTTTTTTTGTCTTCTGTTATTTTTCTTTGTCTAACTTTAAGCAGAGTTTTCCATTTTGAATAGAGGATTTCTTTTCTTCCTTTTTATCCCAGATGGTCAGCTTACTGTTGTCTAGAGGAGCTAATATTAATGCATTTGACAAGAAGGACAGAAGAGCTATACATTGGGCAGCATATATGGGTATGTATGTGTTTGCAGTTGTTTACTATCCTGGTAGTAAAAAAAAAAAAAAAAAGTGATCAGTTAAATTTTGGTACTGATTTCAAGAGGAGAGCAGTTGAAGATGATTCCATTATCTTGTTTGTTACTCATTGTTTAAGCTTATTGTTTCATTATCCAGCCAAGTGGAAAGAGTAAAAGCAGTAACATTGGTCTTCGATGAATCCACACGCCTGGGAATTTCTTTAAATATGAACTGCAGAACTGAGACCTTGTAATATGTAATTTCTTATGCCTGTTAAGTTTTGAGAATCTGCATTTTCTTTGTTTTTAATACCTGAAATGCTAAATTCCCTTGAAAACACATATTTTTTATATACATGTGATATTACATTACAAAACTTCAGAAGAACGTGTTCCTATTCTTTACAGAGATCATCCAAAGATGTGAAACCTGTGTTGTTTCTTTTTTTAGTTAGACTAAGAGAAAAATAGCACTTAAATCCTCTGTCTCAGTGAAAACCTTGAACTGTGCTTTATAGAGGCACAGCTTGATTTTTGTTGACAAACAATTAAGTTAACATTCAGGAAGAATAATTTCTAGACTGCCTTTTCCATAAGTAAAATGAGTATTTTTTAATGTATCTGCTCACCAAAAAACAAACATGCTTTAACTGGGAGACTACAGACTCATTCACATCACTTAAGTCTAGGATAATTCTTTCTTGAGAGTCTGATCCTGGACAAAATATCCCTGAATATGCAGTTTAATATTCATGTTCATTATTGCAAGTTATACAATTGCTTGTAAGTAAGCATAATGCATTGCACACATTTATGTGCAGTGTGGGGGAGGAGGTTCTTAAAAACAGACTTAAGGTTGCTAACTAAATGCTGTTACACAAAAAGAAGTGGCATCAAGTATCTTTCAACTGCTTTCCCAGTCTTGCAATAAAAGAGGAAATAAAAGCAATAACTTGGAAGTGGAAATGCAATTTCAAACTTACGTACTGAGCAGAGCCAAAGAGCAGAAGTATGTGTAAATTTACCCTGTTTAAATACTGTTTGATGAAAAAACTTACCAAGTTTCAGGGGGCTGATGATGAATTGTTCTTTGTATGAAGTATCCTTTGGTCCAAGGACTGATGATTCTGTTCTTTACAAATGAAAAATGAACTTTCATTTACAGATTTAAGCTTGCTTGCAAGGTCTTAGTGATTGTAAAAGTGATAATTTCAGAAATACCTGGATTCATTAAAAAAAACACAATTATTAACTGTTGTCTTTACAGAACTCTGTTTTAGGCTGATTTCACATTAGTGATTTCACGTTAGATCTGTTTTTGCCAGTACAGATCTGAAGTAATGTAGTAGCAATGTAAAATAAGCCTGTGAAATGTGAGAAGGAACAGTCTTCAGAAGAAAAGACTTATGCTAGTAAATTATGGAGAGATTGTGACAGCATTCATGCTCTTAAGTTGTAGTTTGAAACTCCATGATGTTACACTTCACGTACAGGTACCAGTTTAATAGAGAACTTGGAGAACAATCTTCATTATTGATCCGATATTTCTTTGGGTTATTTTGTATTAGAGTTTTGTGACCTACTTGTAGACTTCTGTGCAATTTCTTATGCAGTTTCTGTGACAGGCTGTTCAACCACCTCAAGGCGATTATTTGCAAAATTTTTTGAATGAAAGTCAATGCATGAGATGGCAGAGATTTGACAAGCATCAGAGAGGACAGACATATTTTCTGGCATGTGCTCACCCAGGTGGAAAAAGTCTTCCATTTTTCAGATAAGCTACATTTATTCCAATTTTAGTTAGAGCTGTTCTGTAGGATATTAAATGGAAATTTTTTTTACTGAACATTTCTCACGATTTAATGCCATTTCACACTGCTCCGGTTTCTAGGAGGAAAACTGAAGACCTTTCCCGCTGTATAAAATAGACTGCAGAGTAAAAGAGACGTTGTGCTTTTCGTCACACTCCTATAAATAACTTTGTAGGCCTATAGCCATTGTTTCCCTTCCTTCCTGCTTTTCACCCAGTTCCATTGCTCTCTAGCTGCAACGCTGCAAGCAATGGGCTTTCGTTTGTGAGTCTTAGCGTTGTCCACAGGAGTGTGTGGGATGATTCCTGTTCACTTCCTACTGCTCTTCTGTTTGAGTATCTTCCATTGACTGCTGCTTGCGTTTTAAATGCAGGTCAGGGATTTTCTTTTGTGTGTTCTTTTTTTTTTAAAAAAATATTTACTTCTGTACCACTTTGTATTTGTCTTCTTTTCACCACTTACAATATCCTTTGTACTTCTTTCTCTGGTGTAGGCATTGATTGTTTTCATTTTTGTCCCCATATTATTTGGGTCACAAGATGAGTATCGTGTTTAAATTTATTTCTGTGTCTTTTCTAAAATACTAAAGTTGTTCAGAAATGCAGAGTTGCAGCACCTCATATTGCTCTGTATAGCTAGGTGAGGATCTTTTTGTATTTTGGGGGGCATGCAACATAAAATATACAGTGGCTGACTGAGTATTTATTAAAGCATTTTTGTATTCCCTTGGGTAGATATTTCCTTCCCAAACTTGTGCACGTTCTTTTAGTCATTAAAAAAGCAGAGCTTCACTGTTTATGAAGCACTTAAACTGAAGGTTGTATTTGATGCGTTGCACTTAAGAATCTGGATAATGTAAGTTTTGTGGTTGTTGTTTTTGTGTGGGGTTTTTTTGTTTAATATTTGTAAATAGACTAAAGGTTTTACTTAAAAGGTAAAAGAAAAAATCTTGTTTCTTTCTGTACAAGTCAGTGACAGAGGTAAAGCTCTCCATTTATCATTGTTAATTTACCATACGTTTTCTCAATTCTGTAAACTTTGTTGTGATTATTGAAGTGGCATAAACTCTCGTATTCTTAGTGGTAATTTGTTTGACAGATGTACCTAGCAACAAGAACAAAGATTTGACTAGCTTGTTTTCATGGCTTCTGTCTTGGAGCGCAATGCCTGGTAGCCTGAAGGCTGGTGCTGGAGCCAGCAGGCACCAGCAGGGGAAGGGCTGACTTGGGCCTTGCCACAGCATTGTATGGTTGGGAGAGATGCCACCCATTGGTTTGGGCTGCCTGTGGTTTTATTCAGAAATAGAATCTTTTCTTCTTTTCTCGTTGGATTATGATATTTCTTTCAAAGTTTGTGCTGAAGGCCTTAGAAACCTTAATGCATCTGCAGTTGCGATGTAGAGGGAAGTCTGCAAGTGAGATTCTCTAGTCATTAACAGAAATTTGCAGTGACTTCAAATAATGACAAAGTTAAGTCACCTCAGTAGTTTTCGAATTTTCAGAAAACCTCTTCGATATAAGCAGAGGCCAATATTTTTTCATGTACTGAATTAATTTTGAACTAAATGGTGTGATTATTGGAGGGATTTATGTTCAAATACAATGTCCATCCCCAGATGAGGTTGTGTTGCTTCTATACTTCACAAAAGAATTAGAAAATGTAAACACTCTTACTTTCCAGATCAGTGTCTTGTTATCATTATAAGATGAACTGACTTGTTCATCTTATAATAACTGTGCAATTCATATTAAATGCAGCTTCATTTTTTTCTTTGTCTGTTCTTTTAGGTCATATCGAAGTTGTGAAATTACTTGTGGCCCATGGAGCTGAAGTAACATGCAAAGACAAAAAATCATATACACCTTTACATGCTGCAGCATCTAGTGGGATGATCAGTGTAGTCAAATATCTTCTCGATCTTGGAGTTGATGTAAGAAAGAATAAAAGCGATTTTTTTTTTTTGTTGTTCTTGTTTTAAATGCTCTTATTTGTATTCTAGCACACTGCTTCATGCTTCTTTAGGATATAGTGAAAACAGAGAAAATATTTCCAAGTATCTTCATTCGTATACTTTTGTGGTGGTGGTGGTTTTGTTTTGTTTCACTTTGTTTTCATTGTAAAACTTATTTTCCCCAGGTAACTTCAGAGCTTTGCAATTTTTGCTGAATTATTTAGAAATAGCTTTGTGTTTCTTACTTTTATTTTGTTCACTTGCTGTTTCTGACTCCTAATGTATCGGACTGAAACAAAGGAAATAGGAGTTCCGTTCCTGGCTTTGCCCCACACATCCTTTTGGAACTGCGGGAAATAAAACTCTTTTGTCTCTGTTCTTTTTATGATGTAGATGTTACTGAATTCCATATGTATGTACCACCTCTATTTTGGGAAATACTGCAGATTGTCGGGAACTTTAATAATAGTAAGAAAGGCCATATTAATATTGAAATACAAAGTAAATTAAAAGGCTGCACAGTATCTGCACATGGAAAGTATGTAACAGTGAACTGTGAAACCATGTAAGGAAGGTACACTGTGCATTGTATTTAGTCTTGCAAAGCTGAGTAACACCACTGGACTTCTATCTTGAAAAGTAGATCAGAATTCAGTATCACACTGTACCCAAGTTCCAATTCCCTGCACTCCACTTCCAAAAAAATACTTTGGAATCTTCAGTTTAGAGATCAAGTCTAATGTTATCATGGTTACCTAAGCAGTGGCACTAATATTATAATTCATTTGCAAAGCATCTGAATTTGCATTTTAGAAGTGGTTCATAACCAAAATTCGTGTTACACTCAGTTCCTTAATATTATTAGAAATATCAGCTTGCATTTTTGTGTTTATGTCCACATTCTCCTATAGATCTAGGAGTTCTATATTTAAAGCTTCAAACTCAGTTTTGAGAGACTCAGTCCTTCTGACACCTGTTTTTTTGGAAACCTGCAAATGCTGTTGAGAAATGTTGAGGTCCTGCAGTGCTTAAGGTGCTAGTCTGTAGTGTCAGTGCAAATAACCACTGTTGATAGTTTTTTTTATATGTTTTCTCTCAAGTTACATACTGCATACAGGAAACTGGCATGGACACAATTGGAGGAGGTTAACTCAGCTGGAAAGCAGTCATACCTCATGTTCTGTTTCAAAGTAGTACATCCAGAACTTGGTCTTAATTTCTGGCTTTGAAAAATTCCAAAACATAATGAAATTATGAAATTTTCTTTGTGTTAAATGCTACAGTAAAACAGGTTTTTGCCAACTAACTGATCGTATTTTTTGGTTTGTTTGTCTCCTAACAGATGAATGAACCAAATGCCTATGGAAATACTCCTCTTCATGTAGCTTGCTATAATGGACAAGATGTTGTAGTGAATGAACTCATAGACTGTGGTGCTAATGTAAATCAAATGAATGAAAAGGGGTTTACACCTTTGCACTTTGCTGCTGCATCAACACATGGAGCACTGTGTTTGGAACTTTTGGTCTGTAATGGAGCAGATGTAAATATGAAGGTAGGTGACTCCAAAACCATCCATTCACTCTTAACAATGTAGTACATCTTTTTCAGAAGTGATTTTTAAAGCTTTCAATGAGGCAGTGTTTGGAGTTCCAACTGACTGGTGTAATATTTCTGTGAATCATAATGTAGAAAAAAATAAGACAGTTGCTTCAAGGAAGTTGGTCTAAATCTTAGCTGTCTCTATGGGATATAGAGATATATTTTAGAATGTTACTTACCAAAGCAGTTCCTGGTCACTCACTCAAACTAAGCTTATTTTGTACAGTCGTATTTCTTTACATTTCTTTATCTTAAAGAAAGAGAGAAGTGAGGGAAAAAGACACCAGGTGTATAAATATGTTTATTTTTTTTCGTTAAAGAAGGAAACTGTTTTATTTCTGTCAGTCTAGGTCTGAGAAGCCAGTATTTCCCATAAACGCATTGTTCTAGGCAATATGTGCTGCTTTTTGTAGTGGCATTGCTGAAAATGCCATGTTCAGGTCCGTCTAAAACGGAGCAGATTTTCAGTAACATACACGTCCTTAGAGGCTTTGTCAGTTGTTTCCAAAGGAAGAGTAAAGATGGAAGGCCTTTCTGCACAGCAGCCAGCTGTGACAATACATCTGTTCATATTTTATGTTCCCCCTCCCATCTTTCACTTATTTTAACTTCGATTTTTTTTTAACATTTTCTATTTTTCAAAGCCAGTATTTAAAATGTGAAGATGCACTGTGTGAGTCCAAAAATGCTTTTATTTGAGTGCGGTTTATGTGTGCATTTGTCAGAATTCTTCTGCAGTCAAGCTTTCCCGTTACCTGTGATCAAGTACAGAAAAAAAAAAAAGTTATCCTAAAGAAATAACAACAGAAAAAAAAACCTGTTTTTGTAAGTGCATTTAGATTTTGCTGTGTAAAATTGCAAGTCCTTTATGCATTATTGTTGGCCTATTTGCAGAGCATATTTACTGGGTGAGTGACTAAGTGCACGCTTGGTATGCATTTCAAATGTGTAATACCTATTGTGGTTGAGTAGTTCCACCCAAGCATTACTTGTGGTTTGTGATAAATTACTTACAAGTATCATTTTACAGAATTTTTGGTGGAACATATGAGGTTTTTGATGTGTAAACATCCATAGTAAATACAGCTGTTTTCTGTCAAGAAACAAGTTTTATGTAAAGAAGCATTGTGTTATTTTAGATTTGGGTGGGGGGAGAGTTGGGCATAGGCTTCTCGTTCTGTCATCATCTCCTTGAGAGCGATTATTGTAAAAGCATAATTGAGGGTGAAAGGGCATCATTGAGTTGTCACTCAGAGCTGAAGGAGTGATTAAGAGCACCTCTTTTGTAGAGTTTTTTGTGTCATGCTGACTTTTAACTGCCAGCATCCATCTTTCAGAATTGCACAGGCAGAATTTAAAGGCGGGAGTAGAGGTCAGGCCTGATGGATTGCTTTTACTGGACATAAGCAAATGCTTTTTTTTTTTTCTTTTACAGAGTAAAGATGGGAAAACACCTTTGCACATGACAGCAATCCACGGTAGATTTTCAAGATCTCAAACCATCATTCAAAATGGTAAAAAAAAAAAAAAAAAAAAAAAAAAGTGGGAAGGAGTAGATCTGTCATCTTTCCTGTATTTCATATACTTTCCTCCTTTGTATTGACAGCAGCATACAAAAAGTTTCTTTCACAGCCATTGCCTAGAAGTAGTTGGGTTAATGGTGGAGTCTGGTATGTCTGCCTATAAAGTTTGAAGAGTTGTATTGAAGAGCTTTTCATTTTTCAGAATATGGAAAGAGCTGATTTGTTTTTTATAACCAAAGTTGCAGAACACTTGTTCCATGTTAGCGGATACGCTTCTCTCCATTTTGCTCATCGTTAATACTAAATTCAAAACAGTTATTACTGAACAGCTATTAATATTGCTGAAATTACTGTCGGTGCTGTTTTTCTAACAGAAGCATCTGTATGCCAATATGTATTCTTAGTTAATTATTACTTTTTGTGTTATAGGAGCTGAAATAGACTGTGAAGATAAGAATGGAAATACTCCTTTGCACATAGCAGCTAGATATGGCCATGAGCTATTAATCAACACTCTGATTACGAGTGGTGCTGACACTGCAAAGTAGGTAACATTTGCTGACATGAGTGCAAGCTGAGAGAATTTAGAATTGTGTTTATTAGACTAACAAGTCTAGTAGGATCTTTTCATATTGCTAAAATTTGAAATAGGAAATATTTTCTGTATTATCCTGTACTGTGCTTTTACGTATCTGCACAAAACAATCTGTACAAAAAGGAATTTTCTCCTCTGTAAAGCAATATATTTGAAATAAAATCTCTGTTTTAATTGACTGTTGCACTGAATTAGTACACCCTGCCTAATAAGAAAGCACTTAGTATGTGAGGTTTTCCTATGGCTCAGTATTTTAATTAGGTAGTTTGGTGAGCAAGCCATGCACATTGACTTTGGCATAGTCGTGTTTGTCTTATTTCAATTGTAATGAAACTGTGATACCTGATTATGGTGTATCTTAGGCGGGGTATACATGGGATGTTTCCTCTCCATTTGGCAGCATTAAGTGGATTTTCAGACTGCTGCAGAAAGCTCCTTTCATCAGGTAGGATACTCTTTAAAGTCTTATAATGGCTTTATAATTAATTTTTATTCTATAGGCTAACTTTCAAGTCTTAATTTAGTAATACGCAGGAATCTTTAGAGTTTTATTAGTAGCCTGGGAACAATGTGTATTTTGTTTGTTTTAACGGGCAGTCTAGAAAAAGAGAAAGTAAACTTACACAGAAGTTATTTCTTTCCACCAAAAAAAATATATCCATATTGAAGTAGTGTCTCTATAACTTATAAAATATTGTTTTAAGTTGGCCAAAGTGATAGAGTAACTGGTCCAGGCTATAATATGACTTCAAAAAGAAAGGCTAATGTTCTAATTATTCTATCCAGCATCTTTCATGTCCCTGCCATTATGTCTTCAGTTTTGTACAGGTTGATTTATTCCTGTCTATTCCGATAGCAGACAGCCTGATAGCTCTGAAGACTTTGTGACTGCTCATTTAAAAACTTGCATTGATGTTTTACTGTTAATGCAACTTCTTGCTTTAAAATAAGTTGAAGGTGAGCGTGTGGAATGGAGTCAGGGAAGTTTCATTTGCATGAAACAATTCTGAGGTCCAAGTTCTGGCTAAGATGGAAAGTAGTTTCGATTGCTCTACTTCATTACTGCTTCTGTCTGGGTGGATCTCATGCTGATTTTTGTGGAGTCATTTGAAACAGGAGTCAATTTTGAGGGTTGTTTTCTGTAGGTAATACTGCCCAGAGGGGAGAGTTTGTACCCTTGCTTATTCTTTTCAATCCAACATTTGTGTTACTCTGTGATGTATAATTCAGGTGCTGCCATATTTGCAGCACAACAGGATAAGAATCAATTAGGGAGCATGAAGTTTATGAGTAGAAGTGTACGTGTGTGCTGATTGGTGTCAAATTCTAAGAAAAATCCCTCCGTTTGGAAGAGGGAAAGATGGGTTGTCCTGGATGTGCAATTGGGCTGAGACGTTTGTTGTTTGTTTTATTTGACTGTGTAGACTTTACGTCTCGTGCTACAGCTTTTTCTTCAGATACCCATTTTAACAACAAAGATAAGTTTGACCAATCAGTTTTTAGTTACTTAATTAATAATGCATGGAGGACAATCTTTCTCATAGAAATGTCAGGACAAAGTTAAGGCTTAAATGGCAACTTTAATATGGATCCCCAGCTTAGTGAAGATCTTTGCCTGACACTGGAGAGATAAAATGTAAGATGAAATGTAAGTTGATTGTGGATTTGGCAGTGTTGATATCTCCCTCTTTGTTAAAAATTAAAAATTTTTTAAAATTGTCTGCAGAACATGTAGAAATTCTAGCTTATTCTTAAGTTTTCCCATTATCTTCATGGATATTATGTCCAGTACGAAATGATACAGAAATGTTAGCAGTTAGATCAGGTAAGGAACAACTTCTTACCTCAGCACTGCAAATTTTGTTTTACTTTTTCCTTTTTCAGTTTTATTTGAATGTGTTTTTCAAAACACTGCAAGTAACAACATTTAGTTTCAAAGGAATCTTGTTTTTGGTGTTTTTTCTCAAGTAGCTGCTAAGTTTGCTTTGCAAGCATTTCTCTTAAGGGTAGATGAGAACAGTTTTGTGAAAGCCTGCATTGCATAACTGCTTTACAAATACTTGATTTATAGGTTTTGACATAGACACACCAGATGACTTTGGCAGAACTTGTCTTCATGCAGCTGCAGCTGGAGGGTATGTAAAAAGCATTCATCCTTTTATTTTTAGTGTTCATTTCTTAATTGCTGATCATTCCTTTTTTTTATTATTCTTTCTTCTTTGCATCTCTCCTATGCTCTCCCCTTGGAATTATGTAAATGCGAAAATAATTTCAAGATGGATTCTATCTGCAAGCAATAAAAATTAATTAAATATTCAGCTGTATAAGTAATTACTGGAGTACAGTGTCCAGGTATCATCAGCTTTATCTTAGGTTTATGCTTGGGGATGAACTGGATTGTATTTTAATTTCCCGTGGGTGATGATACAATTGCAAAGATGTTGTGCCCTTCTAGGTGACCGTAGGGCGTGAGGTGAAGAACAGCAACTTTGGGCAACACGTTTTTACCTTATCCACAAACAAAAGATCAATCAAGCAAAATTGTAAACCGTAATTAAATCCCAGAGTTTAGATGGATGAAGTGGTCAGAACTACTTGTTCATCACTTGAGTTGTGATCTATATTGATTATTGTTATTGCATTGTAGGTTATCTATAGCAGCTACTCAAAATTGCCTGGAAGAATTGGGTAATAAATCTCATGATACACTTTGTGGGACACAAAAACTCCATTATAATGATATTTTCATTTTCTGTTGCAATGTTACTTAAGTAATACTGCTAAATAATCATTCTCAATGAAAAGTTACTTGAGAGGTACATTCTTGTTACAAATAATTAAGGTTAAAATGCTGTCTTTCTGTATAAAAACACATTATTTGTGACTCATTCCCTCATTCATCTACAATTTAGAAAAGTTATTAAGATTTTGTTTAAAGTGGCAGTTTATACATCTGTTAGTGTGGTCATATTGTATTGAAAATGAATTGCTTAAGTAAAATACTTGCATTGCATTATAACTTACATTTGAACTTCAAATATATACCTTAAAAACTTGTTTCTGTGTTGAACCCTGGTAGCAAAAAATCATGTGCTGTTCAGGTATAATTTTTATTTTATTTTTTTAAGAATTGAGTGTCCTATTAGAAGAGTTAACATCCGTGCCCTTTATGCATGCCATTTGATATCAGTACAGTTTTTGTATGTGCTTATGAAGTAATTTGGGTTCTTTTCTGGTTTGGTTCTGGAACTGTGAAATGTGTATTACATATACAAATTCACAGAAAATATACTGTTCAGAAGTTTTCATGTAGTTTAGTTGTAAAAAAAAAAAAACGTCTAAGATGCAGTTCTGGCAGTTAAAAAGGCCAATATTAAGAAACTGTAATCTGCAATCACAAGCAATATTGCATTAATTTAATAGGAATTTGGAGTGCCTAAATCTTCTGCTGAATACTGGTGCAGACTTCAACAAAAAGGACAGATTTGGGAGGTAAGAGATTTTAGAGCTGTACATTTTGAAGGGTTTCTGAAGTGTTATGAAATGCATATTGCTGCGTGGTCAAACCCGTTCATTTCAATTTATGTGTTTATAAACAATTATGTCCCTTATCAAGTTTTCTTCAGCATGTATTATAGAGAGCTACAGATATATATAGATACATATTTTTTTTTAGGTAGGTGCTCAGTCTTGTTTTTAAAGAGTGCAATGCTACAAGCCTTCACTGCTCAGAACATGGATGTAATGAGTTTATATTTCACTCATTCAAGGACATTAGCAATGTTTTCCAAATAGTACGGCAGTCTGTATGTTTGTTACTATTTCTGAAGGCTTTTTCTTTAGTTAAGAGTCCAACGCTTTATAATAACTTCCTCATATACCTCCCAGTATATCCATCTGTTACTGTTCCTTTCCTCATTTGTCGTTCCAAACAAGTTCTGACCACATGAATTTCTATTTTTGGTGTAGCATTATTTAAGTTCGCATTGCACGATCGCTACTTGTGCGAAATCTGACGTCCCATCCTGAAATCATTGCATTACTCATGCACTACTCCTGCCATTCACATCCTGGAAAATGAGATTTCCTGAGATGTGAGTGGCAGTAGTGCATGAGGGAAATGTTAAGGATATGGAGTTGTTTCGCTTTGACTTCTTCTGTTCTTTTCTGAGAAAGCAACAATTGTTTGTCACAACTTTTCTCATTGACAGCTTTGTTTTAACTTGCATGTTACACAAAACAGTTATTTTCAAGGATGAAAACTATTAAAGCAGTTAAAAATTAAGAAAATTGGAAAAAATAATTTTGGAGGAGGAAAGTAGAACATTTTGAAGTGCCTCCTACCCTCAAAATGGAGAAATTTGTAGAAGCAATCAGTTTTTATAAATAGAAACTGACATTCTTTATCATTGTGGTGCTAAACTGCTGTTTTGAGAATTGAAGGTAGAATAAGTTTCCCTTGACATGATTCATCAATACCAGTATTTCAGTGTGTCATGATTTTGTTACAAGGAAATGATGTTATATTTTCAAGATTTTTGTTTAACAATACCTCTGATACGTCATCACAGTTAGAAATACTGCATGCCTCTATTAGCTAAAAATATGAACTTTTTGAGGAAAATATTGACAACTAACTGTTGTATTTTGACCTTGTTTAGTTGCTGGGCAATTCTTGAATTTGTCCATATTTTTCACATAACTTGAAATTACCTATTTAACTAAATTAACTAAGATATCTAATGTAAACTATTTTTCTCTGTATGTTTAAACAAGAAAATTCATATAGAACTTCATGCCACAGTATGTGTATGTGCTGGCTGACAAATATGTCCCCTAGATAGCCTGTGTTATTAAATGGCCCCTCAAAGATAATTCTTAACATTGTATTCACCACAAATATTTGCTAAAAAGGGAAAGGAGGATTTAAGTTTCATTTTCGTTTGCATTTTCTGTCTCCCTAGTATTATTTTGCTGTTATTTACCTTTGTACTTTTTATTCAAATGTGTACTAAAGAACTCCACTCCATTATGCTGCTGCCAATTGTAATTATCAGTGCCTGTTTGCCCTTGTGGGATCTGGAGCTAGTGTGAACGACCTTGATGAGAGGGGTTGTACACCTCTGCACTATGCAGCCGCGTCAGACACAGATGGAAAGTAAGTGTGGCACGCTTTGTCCTGCAGAAATTATCTTTAGAAACATCTGAGCTGGGACTTTTGGGTGCATCCTCCCTTTGCTGAACGCATCTTCTATATTTTTTTAAAGGTTAAAACTGGCAGCGACTTGTTCATTGTATGGAAAATATTTCTGAGATAAATGAATGTGTTGTAATTTTTTTATTACATGCTGTAGAGCGGGTGTCCTGATGGCGAGCAGAGGTTTTGATCCCTGCTGCTGTGTAGTAGTGGTTGAGTAAATGTCGTCTGGGGGGGGGAAGCTATGTAACTTTCTGATGGCTGTAACCAGTAGGGTCATTTTACTTCAAGATCAAACTTCAATGAATGGTGATGGGGTGTTTTGTGGAGGGTTCTTCACTTTGCCCCCAAATCTGCGTAGTTAGTCGGAAATACTTTGTCAAACTGTGAATAACAGTAGGCCTATACCAGGATAGAGATGATCTAGACATTTAACTATGAGACCACTTCATCCATTTGGGATTCGATTAAGCTATTCATGTTCAGCATTAGAACTGTCTTGGTATAAATTTTTGTGAAGTAGTTAAACTTGTGTTAACAAAGTGCATCCAAAGGCCTTTATAAATCCATAAGTGCCTTTTGTGTGTGTTAGTTTTGTAACTAATGACTGTACGTACGTAAATTGGAATAATGTGAGTGCATACACGTGAAGCTTATGCTGATAGCACAAAATTATAAGGTTCATTGAGTGTCAGTTGTAGTGTATGTAACAGGCTTAAGAGGAGAGTCTCTTCTGTGTGTGCACATTCACACGGAGGTCCAAACAGACTGGTGTGCAGCATCCCATTTCAAAGGCATATAGAGGCACCTTCCTGGACAGTGATGCTTTTTGATGCTGTATCATCTTGTTTGAGTACAACAGTTTTTAAAAGATGGAGTAGCCTTTGGAATGAGGCTTGAAATTTGATGGGACACTGAAGGATAAATAAGGAATATTTTCATGGCCGTGTAACTCATGTTTCTCAAGTAAATGCCTCTTCTACATAAAGACAAATTTCAAAAGAAAATTGTCTGACAGTTCATACAAATGCATTCAAATGCAAGTGGAATTTGTTGAGATAGTACTTCTTTAACTGCACTCTTACATGTGTCATCTGAAATCTGGGAAGAAAACTTTCTGACTCCAGAGTGGCATGAGAAAACAGCATTCCTTTATTCCTCAAGTCACATACCAGGTGACTTGACAAATCAAACCTGCTTTCTCAGAGTTCAGGTTCTACATTTAAACAGTTAATACACTGGCATACATACTCATTCTTTCCCCAAAATTCATTAATATATGTTAATGTCCCTCTGGACACACGTGATAGCGGCCTCTGGTGGTTTTAGAGCACTTACTTTCTCCTCATTTTTCCACCATCAGCTTCATCACAGTGACTTTTGGCTGTCCTTTGACTGTTCTTCCCCAGCTGGGCAAATTTCCATTGCATGTTACACCATAATGAGCAACTTTTGCTATCTTAGTGCACTGAATCCCAAAGCAATATATGTGAAATGTGGGGAAGAAGTCCTTGCACCTGGTACATGCAAAGATAAAAGTAGTCTGTCGTGACTCCAGTGCTCCTGTGTAGCAGGATAGTTAAGAATAGCAAGGTTGTTTACACGCCAAGCACAGCTAAGCTGTAAAGTATTAGAACTAGAACCCATTGATTCCTTTTCCTAAACTATATATTGGTCTTTAAACTAATACACTGATACCTATTGCTAAACCGGCCTCTTCCACATGTTGAGCTAAGGTTAATTTCAGCTTCACAGTTGCTGAGAAAACTTCCAAACTGCAGTAGTTCTTCAAATAGCAGCATTTTTTCCTTCTAGAAGGAAACCCTTATAGAAGGGACAGTTGCAAATTATGATGGCAATATTGCAGAGCTTTAGGAGATATCTCAAAAGCTTTATTGTTCTGATTAATAGTTGGCTCTCTGCAAGTCGGACTACAGAGCAGGACGGCCCAAGGGAGCAGCTTTTAATGTTGATGCAGCAAGATGATTAGTAGCAGCTGGACAGCCAGTGCTGCTCAGCTCATATTCAAAATAGAAATTAAGCTAAAAGCAATTGCTGATTTGGAATACAAAGCCTGGGAAAAATGTCAGGAAGCGATCTACAAGTATATGGAAATTCCATGTGTATTTCAGTGTGTTTTTATGGGTTTTGTTCAGATTCTTTCAAGACCGAATTTTGAGACAGGGATGTTTTTGTTGAAAATTATTTTCCTGTTTGTTTCTGTCTGCAAATGATTCGGATCTGGAATGTACACCCAGTAAGCTGTACTTTGGCAATTTTAGAGAAAGATGCTCACAGATTAAAACGAGCTAAGCAGCATGTTAGGGGAAAAAAACATGATCTTGCTACATATATTAGAATTATTTAATAGTGCACACTAAGTGAATGGGAAATAAGCTACATTTATTTGTGCATTCAGAAATTTTGATTTATCTCCTTTTTGAGAGGCCTATTGAAGACACTCAAGTATTCAAAAGATGCAAAGTTAATCTTTCTGGGTGAAAAAGAAACAGTAAAACAATTGATTTGATTTTTTTATTTGTTAGAATGCTACTTGACAACTTTAAAGGACTTCACTTCTTGCAGAGCATGTTGAGTTTTCTGCAAAAAGTCAAATTCACGAAGTACAAAAGTAAAATTTAGATAGATAAGGCCATGGATGTTCCTTGTTGCTTGCAAAATTTTGGTTAAGTGGTGAGCAGTATGAAATTACAAACGCATGGGAATGGTGCAGTGTTTGTGTATGAAGTCTTTCTTAACAAAAGCTGGTACTAGTTCTTTAAAAGAGAGAGAGCTGACATCATTATCCCATTTCTCATCCTCCTGGCTTGAGTGTCAGTGCTTGAAACTGCTGATTGCATTCTGCCTTACAACCTCAGGTTACAAGAGGAATGATTGGTAGGATATGAGTATGTCATCAACTGTGTTTAGAGTGTGTATATATATAAATCAATAATTAGTGTCTGGTGGTGGAATAGAGTCAGTGTGACAACTACTGAACATGATTCTGAAGAACTCAGCTGTTTGTTCTTTTCCTTCCATATTAGGTGCAGAAAAACACTGCTATATTGTATAAAATACAAAAATAGTAATCATTTATATTAATGAAAGTATCAGCAGCTGTGTTATCTAAGAGAAAAATAGCCATGGAATATTAGCTGCAGCCTAGTCGTGGTTCAGAAAGTTCTGGATGTACACAGAGAAGGATTCTTTCAGATTCTGGAAGCTTTGTGATTGGCCTTAGCACTCAGTGCACTCAGGGAGGTGTTTTTAGTCCCAGCCAAAATCGTGTGCTAAATTGCTAGTCTTCTTTGTTACGTTCTATTTTCCAGTTGGATTGGAATGATTTATCACTTACTATAAACTTGAAATTCAACGTTTAGAGATGTGGTTCCATGTTTCAATTTAAACAGGTGCCTGGAATACTTGCTAAGAAATGATGCCAATCCAGGGATCCGAGACAAGCAAGGATACAATGCAGTTCATTATTCTGCTGCTTACGGCCATCGCTTATGTCTTGAATTGGTAAGAAAACTTCATTACAGGTGAGGGATGTAACACTGTCCTCACAGAGCAAAGGCAGGGCGTTCCTCCACCTTCATTCTTCACATCAGTTTAGGTTGTTAGTGGTTTTCAGCTCCTGTGAGAATAAATCTTTAAACACTTGCTACTCTTAAAATAGAGGCAAGATGGAAAGCTAAGGTGGGAGAAACTGGTGTAGAAAGATTGCATATTTGGAGATAAGGTAAGACTGGTTGAGGATATGTGATATTGGTTTTCCATTCCTTTTTTTTAATTTAGAATATACTGTTAATTTTTTTTCCTTATGGCTGAAGTAAAATACCCACACGTATCCTCCTGAGGAGTGTTGAGAAATTTTGCGGATTTCATCTGAACAAGTGAATTTAAATATAGGGAAAACCTGTCCAGTAAGGGTGCCTTAAATTAGTTTCCAAAGTAAATTAACAGCCTTACAATTGAATTTTAGATAGTAGGGCCTCCAGTTCATTTTTAATGTATCCTTTTGCAAAAACATGCATCTTACTTGATATGAGAGAATTTTGTCTGCTCTGTGTTGTGCAACATAATATTTTTATGCAGATTGTACTTTTATATTCAAATGTATTAAAATAAAAATTCTGAATGTTTTTAATTTCAGATTGCAAGTGAAACGCCTCTAGATGTTGTAAGTGTGTGTGATTTCTCACTTTTAAAGTACTAGGCAGCAAAAGGGAACGTGTCATTTAAAAAATGCTGCAGTTAAACATTTCTGCAGTGCCTGGATGTATTGTTTAATTTCAGTTGCAATGAAGACTTAATTGCAGTTCAGCATTGTAAAATACAAAAATATTTTTAAGCCATGAGCTGACTTAAACTTATGTATGACTGCTATAACATTGTGATTGTGAAAATGCAGTGATCTGAATGTATTGGGTGTTCACAAACACTGTGTTTGAATCTTCTACCATAAAAAGCTAAACACAGTCATGAAAAAGACCCAGGATTAAAACTTGAAAAACACTTGAAAGTGTCAAATAGAAATATATGTGTGTTTTCTTCCCTGCAATTCTTCTTCTCACCAATCCTGAAATTCCTTTTGTGTGAATGTCATCTATTTATTTCATACAATTGCTTTGGGAAGTCTTAATTTTACACTAATTTCTGATTTGATTATTGCATTATTGGGCAAAATTAAGCAACTGTAGGAGATGAGTATGGGGGAGGGGTTGCAGTAATTGCAGTTCAAAGCTATTAGAAAATTGGAACAAATCTGGAATCGTTAAGGAAATGGTAGTCTTTTATTTTTTTTTTCCTAATATTGTGTCTTATTTTTTAATCTGTGTGTACTGGAAGCTAGCAGTTACTGCTGAATGTTTTTAAAGGTGATGAGTTCTGTACTCACTCAGACTTTCTCTGTTAAGCTAATGGAAACATCAGGTACTGACATGCTGAACGATTCAGACAACAGAGCACCTATAAGTCCACTGCATTTAGCTGTAAGTATTTCAGTAGTCTGTGATGGGTCCTCCTCTAATTGCAAGAGTTGTTGGCATAGTCTTGATTCATTCCGGTTTTGGGTTTGGTGTTGTTTGGTTTGTTTTTAATTATGCCAATAAAATAAATTAAACCTGAAAACACAATGCATAATCACCCTGAATATAGGATGATTTTTGCTTTTCACTTGAAATTTGCTTTGTGGAACTGCCTTCGCTTTGACTCATATAATTAAGTTTTATTTTATGAATTATATTATTTAAACTTTTGTAAAAACTTATTCTACAAATAATGTTTTTTTTTTTAACCATCATCATTTATTATGAGAAATGTTTATCTTTCATACCTGTGCAAAACTGCAAAAACAGTAGAAGAGCGAACCTGTTGAAACTGTCAAGAAGTTGGGAACTGAAGAACAGCTCAGTGTGTAACTTTATTCTTTTCACTGGACTTCCAGCAGTGGAAAAACCTCAATGTACTTTCTGAAAATAGCCTGGGTCTCACGTAGTACATATATTGCTATATATATGGCTAAGGGAAAAGTAATCTCACACTGGTAAAAGAAAGCTGCTAAAGAGACTGTTCCTGGAAATTTCTTCTTCTGGAAATAGAGCTCCTATGTCTACGAGAAGAAATTCAGAGTTTACTATGGAAGCTATAAAGCCATAGTTGAAGTTGTTTATTTTCATTACTTATTTGGACGCTTTGTCTTGGTGCTTAACTACATTTTCTGTTGTATCCTTGTATATCCATTCTTACCTTTTTCTGTTTCGTTTTCTAAGGCCCTTCTCTTTTTACCAGTTATGGTAGCTAATTGTACTGTATTTTTTACCTACAGAACTTTACACCTTTTTTTTCTAAAATGTTTTATTTAAAACCTCATAGGAGTTAAATGTGCTTGCGTATGTTCTTCCCTTGAAATAGTCTGAGGATTATGTAACTTCAGTATAAGGAATGCAACGTGCAGCATTCAGAACACCGATGGTTTTACAAATTGGAGGCAGGGAAGATTTTATGAAAATGCTTTGTTGCTTATTTGAAGAACGAAATGAAAAAACACCAACCTTCCTGCTGAGAGAGTTTTCAAAATTAATTGTAAATACTTTGTAATGATCTGTATGCTGTGTCAGGAGTTCCTCCAGATGTAAAAATAAAAATAATGTCTTCACTGTTTTGTTTATGTAGTCGTGGGAAAACTGATGAATTTTCTCATTCTCTTAGGCCTACCACGGCCACCATCAGGCTCTGGAAGTGCTGGTACAGTCGCTGCTAGACCTTGATGTGAGGAATAACAATGGAAGGACACCACTGGATCTTGCTGCCTTCAAGGGACACGTCGAATGTGTAGATGTGCTCATTAATCAGGGAGCATCAATCTTGGTGAAAGATTATGTTGTAAAGAGAACCCCAATACATGCAGCAGGTTTGTGCTAACTGACACACTCTAACATTTTGGCTTTTGAAGTGGATCTTCCTTCATCTTTGGAAGTCTCTTTGCGTTCTAAGAGATGGTGTTAAGGAATGAGTGATCGCTTTTGGGTTACTGTTAAGACTTCTGGATTTTTATATACTTGTAGGTATAGATTATATAAATAAAGGTAACAAAGCACTTACAGTGGAAACCTGTATTAAGCCCATAAGTCATTTTAGCTTGTGAATTACCGTTCCATGCTACTCTCTAAAAGGGTGCAAAACATTGCGTTTTGGGTTGAAAAGGGCGTGAGACCTTTCAGTTCCAACCTTGTCCATTCAGCTAGCAAGACTAATTGCACTGAGAGGTGTCAGCAGTATGTTCTTGTTTCTCTCCTCGTCTTTCACACAGCCCAAATTTAGATGCGTGATTTGTGTTGCCTGTCCTGGCTGCAAAATACTGCTATCAGTTTGAGAAGAGACTAGAAAACTGTGTTCTGTTTCTTCCATGTTTTTGAATCACTCCTTACTGCATATTTTCAAATGATAGCAAACCTTCACGATGTTTTCTTACTGACTTCCAGGAAAACATCAATAAACTCAAAATATGGCAGTCATCCTTATTCTCTTTTTTTTTTTTTCTGTCTTTGAAAATAGGCTTATTTGAATTGGCATTACTGTTATAAGCTACATGGCTACACTTGCTAACCAATTCTGTGTATGACTGTGTATGTGTTTGCTTGTTTTAAGGCACAGGTATGAGATGTGATATTATATTTAGTTATTCCTTTTTGTGGACAGTGTGTAAGCATATACTCTTACAGCTGATGTGTGCAACCCAATTTGTATGTCAAAAATAAATTCCTGCTGGGAATTGACGGTTGCAATTGATTCTGTGCAATACTATATAATTGAGAATACCTCATATCCGAAATCATTGAGTGCTCATATTTTTTGTTCCTATCTATTAATATATGAAAATCAATTATATCAGTGATAAAGCTGTACACTGGCTTCTCAAACTGTGGGGTGTTAGCATGGGCAAGTTACTGTTGGCTTTCTGCTGCATACTTGAAGACAATTCTTGTAAAACTGGTATTTTGATGTTTTACAGCTACAAACGGTCACTCTGAATGTTTGCGACTATTGATAGGAAATGCAGAACCACAGAATGCAGTGGACATTCAAGATGGAAATGGACAGTAAGTTTTCAAAATACACAATCTAATATTCACAAATTACATCATTTTATAAAAGGGCAAAAATAAATACGATTTTGCATCAGTGATTTTTATTTTGTTGCTTTCAAATGAGGTGCTATTTGAACAAAGACAAAGGAGTGCATGTTTTACAATAAACAGCTTTGGCAGTGAAAAATGTCTTGTTCGATTGGGAATACTTTAATCAGGAATTCTGAATCAGTGGAAATTAACTGATTTTCTTGAATCTCCTGGCATTCTTGGAATAAAGGTAGTGCTAGAGAAGCTTATGGATAATCTAAATTTGCAGTGTTCTTTGCTAGTGCCCAGCGCCAGGATGAGGCACAAACTGAAATATGGGAAGTTCTGTCTGAACATCAGAATGCTTTTCTTTGCTGTGAGGGTGGCAGAACACAGTCTGCCCAGAAAGGTTATGTAGCCTCCTTGGTGAGCATCTTCAAAAACCACCTGGACAGGAGCTTGGGTAGCCTGATCTGGGTGTTCCTGCTGGAGGAGGAGCTGGACCAGGTGGACCCAGAGGTCTCTGCCAACCTCAGCCACTGTGTGTGTGTGTGTGTGTGTGTGTGTGTGTGTACAGCTCTTTTATATTTCAGCTGAGCACTGGTCTGTTACATTTCAGTGTAAATTATGCTTTAATTTCTCTCTCTGTGTAGGACTCCTTTGATGTTGTCTGTTCTCAATGGGCACACAGACTGTGTTTATTCACTTCTCAACAAGGGAGCAAACGTAGATGCCAAAGATAAGTGGGGAAGGACAGCATTACACAGAGGGGTAAGAGAATATTTCCTTTCTGTCTTTTCCAGTATTGTACACACTGAGTTAAAATACAGGCTTAGTTTGTAGCACTAATTAATTTCTTATTATTTTGATAATGCCATTCTTAGCTTTAAATTGTCTTTTTAGTTGTTTTCAAGGCTAGCTTTTGCTTGTTTGCTACATAACCTCAGAATTCTGTTGGATTTCCTGAATCTCATAATGTTGCTATAAGCTGTTGGCTGCAGAAGACCTGAAGTGTGACTTTTTGTCATGGGGTGGGGGACATGTTAATGGATGGAAGAACATTGTTGTATGTGCCAAATAGGTTTGGGTTTTATGTTTTGTTGTTGTTGTTGGTTTTAAATCTCTGACAGATAACTGACCTAGCCCTAGGGATGAGTAGTTCATTCAGTATAACTCCAATAAATTATCCTCTCCTGAATATAAAAGTACACTGCTGCTTTTCCAACAGAGTGGCTGTTTCCAAATGTTAAAAACAGTAACTATGTTTATTTTATTATTACTTAAAAATTTAAGACATTGCCTGCAGTTTGCTTAGTTCAGTTATACAGCTTGACACTCTACATGAATATTTACCAACTTGTTCTTTCATTTCTTTCTCTCAGGCAGTTACTGGGCATGAGGAATGTGTGGAAGCACTACTTCAACATGGTGCTAAGTCCTTATTGAGAGACTGTAGGGGGCGAACCCCTATACATTTGTCAGCTGCGTGTGGACATATAGGTGTTCTAGGAGCTCTCTTGCAGTCAGCTACATCTGTGGATGCAATACCTGCGATAGCAGACAATCATGGCTATACATCGCTGCACTGGGCCTGTTATAATGGTAAACATGAAAGCATGCTGGGGGGGAATGTATCTCTCTGTAGGCATAGTGTCTCACAAAGGATTTCCTATACAATCAAAGCATTCTGAATCTCAAGTATTCGACAGTGAAATAAAAATTGAGAATCAAATGAGCCAAAAAGAAAAGATTTTTTCTATAATGTTGGGCATTTTCTGGGTGAAAATGTACAGGGCTGTTATGTCACGTTTGTTTTTATTACTTCCAGGACAGTAATCTTCACATACTTGTAAATCTCCCTTTTCAATGAATTGAGTGTCGACACTGTATTGCTTAAAATCATGTATCTCATACCTGAAATCTTAAGTTAAATGTCAGAATGTAGATGTAACTGCAGAGGGAGTCAATAGAAGGAAAAGCTGAGGAACAAAACAGTGCGTTAACGTTGCTGGATGCAGTGTTATGTTTGTGTTATGTTTGTGTCAGGACCTGGAAATCATTTAATTAAGAACAGTTTAATTAAGAACAGACACTTCTGGTAATGTACCTGGGGAGGTGCTAGCCATTTCTGGACAGTTTTCATTTTGACTAATACAAATGTTTACGTTTTATTTTATTCTGCAGTCAGTCATGTACATCCAAACTTGATTTTGTATTAACTGTAATTAGCGAAGACAAGTGACAAAATGAAGTTTATGTATAAATAGCTTTGGGTTCCTTAAATAGGAAGCATCTTCATAACTTCACAAAGCAAAGCAAACTACTGAATTGTAGTTGAAATGGTTTCCAGGTGTAAAGACGTACCCAGATGCTTCTGTTTGACTGTTACAGATAAAATGTCCCATTGCTCATTTTTTTTCTCTTAGTCTTGGAAAAAGTGGGGTTCATCAGTTACAGAAATACAAAGGTTTTCACACTCTTGTATACTTTGTTTCTCCTAGCAAGCACATATTCTTTTTAATACAAAGCTTCTCCTCCATCAAATGGGTTGACAGTTAAATGCATGTAATTGTTAATACTGAGATAGATGTTACTAATACTTTACAACTACTTTAAAACTTAAAATATTGCTCAATCTAATTTAGATAAATATTCTAAATCGTAAGTAGTTCTTTTCCTTTTTTTTAATTTCTTTTTAAACTATCTCTACGTTTACTTCAGGTCACGACAGTTGTGTAGAACTTCTCCTGGAACAAGAAGTTTTTCAGAAAATGGAAGGAAATTCTTTCAGTCCATTGCATTGTGCTGTGTAAGGAAAAGCAAAATTATTCTTCGTAGACTTAATCATGGTATTTAACAAAAGATTTATCATTCTGTAAATAACAGCTTGTTTAATTCTTTATAGGATAAATGACAATGAAGGTGCTGCAGAAATGTTAATTGATACATTAGGTGCTGGTATAGTAAATTCAACAGATTCAAAGGGAAGGTAAGAGTGCATCTGCATGGTGGAAGAATGTATGTAGTGGTTGCATTCACTCTGCTAAATTCTGTTGTTTGTGTTTTTTAATGGCTACTCAGATTATTTCCTACTTCCCCCTTATTTATTCTTTAAAGATTGTTTTAAATTCTGAGTAAAAAAAATTTTTTTTAATCTAGTTCTGATTCAGTAAACCTGAATGGGCTTTTTGTTGCGTAGGCATGGTTAAAATTGCATCACTTCATGAGTATTATTTTATGTGTACTTCTCCTGTCTGAATCAAGTTCTATCTGTACTGTGCACTACACAGATAAGAGTTATGTATTTGAAACTTGAAGGTGATTTCTTGAAGGCACCAGTCACAGCTCTTAACGTTCCTGATCCCATCTGATCAGTGGGAGTGACTGCCCAGTCTCTGCACCTACAGTCAGGTCTGATGACAGTCAGTGTGTCTGTAAAAAGCACAGCTGAGCGTCACCATGTGATCTGTTTCAGGACCCCTCTTCATGCAGCAGCTTTTACAGATCATGTTGAGTGTCTGCAGCTTCTACTCAGTCACAATGCTCAAGTAAATGCTGTAGATGCTTCTGGGAAAACACCTTTAATGATGGCTGCAGAAAATGGACAGACAAATACTGTTGGTAAAGTATCTGTTTCTCCTGTTCAGTGTGTTGATCTTACCACAGATGAAGTTGCCTTATCAGTTGATTATTGTGGATATATTTTGTTAAAATATCATATTCATTTTGCACAAATGTAAACTATTAAAACTTTACAGACTGTGCTTTTACTTAATACAAACCTTTATTTCTTGCAGAGGTGCTGGTTAGCAGTGCTAAGGCTGATCTGACTTTGCAAGATAGTTGTAAGAACACAGCGCTCCATTTGGCTTGCAGCAAGGTGCGTGCATAGTCTGACCTCACTGGTACTCGTTGGTACTTTGTGTTACCAAACATTGTTTACAAATAAGTGTTTGCCTGCAGCCCAGCAGTGCCCTTGCAGCCCAGAAGGCCAACCTGCATTCAAAAAGGGGTAACCAGCAGGGAGAGGGAGGTGATCGTCCCCCTCTACTTGGCTCTTGTGAGGCCCCATCTGCAGTGCTGTGCCCAGGCTTGGGGCCCTCAGTGCAAGAAAGACACAGAGCTCTTGGAGCGGGTCCAGAGGAGGGCCACTAAGATGATCAGAGGGCTGGAGCACCTCTCCTGTGAGAAAAGGTTGAGGGAACTGGGCTTGTTTAGCTTGGAGAAGAGAAGGCTCCAGGAAGACCTCATTGAGGCCTTCCAATACTTGAAAGAAGCATAAAAACAGGAGGGGGAATGGCTGTTTATGAGGGTAGATAGTGAATAGGACAAGGGGGAATGGTTTTAAACTAAGACAGGGGAAATTTAGGTTAGATACTGGGAGGAAGTTTATCACACAGAGGGTGATGATGCACTGGAACAGGTTGCCCAAGAAGGCTGTGGATGCCCCATTCCCGGAGGCATTCAAGGCCAGGCTGGATGTGGCTCTGGGCAGCCTGGTCTGGTGGTTGGTGACCCTGCACATAGCAGGGGGTTGAAACTACATGATCTTTGAGGTCCTTTTCAACCCAAGCCATTCTATGTTTCTGTGATAAGAACTTATTACTTTGGAAAGGCATTCAAAGCTTTTTTTGAAGGTTATTTGCTATGTGACAAATGTTTATTCTGCATTAAGGGTCATGAAACTAGTGCCTTGTTAATACTGGAGAAGATTACGGACAGAAACCTCATCAATGCCACCAACGCAGCCTTGCAAACGTACGTATCCACGGAGTGGTTTTTTTCAGATTACTTTTTAGGGTGTTTTGCTGAGACTTTCTTATAAAGAGAAATATTTTTGCAAATTTTTTTTTCTAAATTGGTTGAATTCTGTTTGAATTGCTGAATACCAGGAGTTGGACCAACCTGAAGTGAGTAGGTATATTGTCCAAACCTGGACTTCTAGTTTTAGCTGAGTGAAAAGGATAAGAAATAAATCTTAATGTATTGTGATTCATGGAATCCTGTGTGAGATTACTGCAATCCATTAAGATTATCTGCACACCAGTGTATTTGTTTTACAAACTGAATAATTTTTCACTTAAAATTCAGGTTTTTTTAAATTCATTGGAGGCAAACTACTTTTTTTTTTCCATAGCTAACCATCAAAACCTAGCTAAGTGTGCTTGTATTATTCAGCATGCTTTCTGTTGGTAAATTTATCTATTACTGAGATGGCAGACTTTGTTTTCCATTCAATATTATCATTCTACATTATATTCTCAATATGATTGAGACCTAATTTTGAGACCTTCCAAGTTGGAAGGGACCCACAAGGATGGATCATGAAGTCCAACTCTGGGCTCCACAAAGAACCACCCAAAACTCAAGTCCTATGTTGGAGAGCATCATCCAAATGCTCCTTGAACTCCAGCAGGTTGGGGCCATGAGCACTGCCCTCAGAAGGCTGTTCCATGCCTGACCACCCTCAGGATTCTCAGTGCTTCCTGAAGATCTACCTTCAAGTAGAATTCAGCCTATTTTGTTAGCACAGTTACAGGGAAAGCTTAGAATGCCTAAGTTGTACTGTGAAATGTATTTCAGAATGAGCCACTAAAGTAACTTTTCTGCATTTTTTTTTTTTTCCTTTTGAAGAAAGTATTTGTGTTGTAGGCAATACTTGACACCTGATAAGTAGCTAACTTACACCACATGAATTCTTGGATTCCTTTAGCAATGTTATCACACAGAGCACTTAGAATAAACACCAAAACTTCCAAGTAACTTGTACATTTCTCTGGCCTTGCATCCCTTCTGGAATCTGCCATGTTCAAACTCCTGCAGTCTTAACAACTATTCTGAGAGATAGGCAAGAGAAAGCAGAGTGGAAGGAAGCTGATTATTCTGTTTCCTGCAGAGTGGTGGTAGGATTCTTTAAACCAGTGGAAATTGATTCTGGAAAACTGTTTCATTTTAAAAAGATATAATCAGAGTAGGTGTGGTAAAGTTGCACTTTCCTTGATACATCAAGACACCACACAAGACATGGTTAATAGATTGAGGTTTTCAAAAGTAATTTGCTTTTCTCCTTGCTTTATGCAGTCTGAATTTTTCATCTCTGGTCACGAAGGAATGTGGTGGTTTCTGGAAGGCAGATTGATGAAATGCTTCTGCGTGTCTTGGAAGCATTAATATGCAATAAATAATGTACCAATATTTGTATTCTGATGATTATTGCTGGTGACACAGAGATCTCAGATGTGACACAATCCATTAAAACCATTCAATGAAGGGTTTATTAACAGGAAAGTATAGGTGACTAATTTTTTATTGTGATGAAGCTCATAAGCAGGCGGATCATTTCCAGCAGCTACTTCTTCACATGTGGTTCCACTAATAAAAAATAATATTTCTGTCTTGATTGTCTGCAGCAAGAAACTGGCTTTGTTAGTTTTTCCCATCTTCGCTTTGTATCTCCTATATTTGGTAATGTGTAAATAACATACAAGTAAAAATATGTCAGTAATCATTCATCACAATGCGTTTTATCTGCCTTGTGTATTACATTTTGTTCTAAGGTTTATCTACCAGTTTGTTTGTCTTCACAGACCTCTGCATGTTGCTGCTCGGAATGGACTAACAGTTGTAGTTCAGGAACTCTTAGGAAAGGGAGCAAGCGTACTTGCTGTGGATGAAAACGGTAAGCATGAATTCAACTTTGTTTCCCCATAAGCAGCTCTGCTTTTAAACTCAACTCACTGAACGCAGTAACTGTGTGGAAATTTCATATGAACCTTCCAGTAGGTTCCCCCCTAGAAAAAGCAGCATGTTGATGATGGGTCATTTTAGCAGAGGGGAAGGGAAGTTTTCAGAACAATGCAGCTCATGGTGTAGAAATATTTGGTATAAGTGTATGGTCTGAAAATGTGTGTACTATGAATACACGGGTGTATTGGAAACAGAAAAACCTAGTAGTCAAGGTAGAGTAAAACTTTCACTTGTTAAGCTGGATGGAATGGCCACCCATTTTGTCTGGGGTAGATGTATTGGTGTTGGCTTTTAAAAGTGAGTGTGAATTACAGATCTGTTACTGGGTCTCAAGCTTCTGGCTCGTTAGAGCTTTTTGTCACAAGTGAGTAAGAAAATGTAATGGAATTTTTAAAAAACACCTTGTAAGGACAAAAGTACATGAGACCTACTGACTTCTTATTTACATATTTCCACATATTAAATCTATGGTTTCAGTATGCCTTGTAACTAAAAGCAATAGCTGTTTTGGGGTTGTTGTGGTTTTTTTTTTTGCAGTTGTTTTCTTGTTTTGTTACATTTTTGTGGGATTTTTTTGTCTTTTTCAGACAGGATGTGCCTGAGTAATAGTTCTAACTAGATTTCCCTTTTGGACAGCTTGTCCTCCCTTGATGTTTGCTGTGACTTTCCTTTTACAGGGCTTCTCAAATTGCACTGCTTAAATTGACATGGGAGATTTAAGGATCATTCCTCCCCTGAAATAGGGTAAAGGTTAGCTGCTAAATGAAACTCCCTAGAATGAAAATGCAGGGAAGCATCTTTTTTTTGAGTTTCAGCTTCTCATCACAAGTATGCCAACTGGAGACATCATTTGTGTTTTCTGTGGGTTCGTCACGTGCAGCCCATCAGTGCCACGCTGGGTGAATCTTTGACATAATAGTTGTCCATACAGAAGTCAAGTTCTCTGGCAGCCGGAGGATCTAACTAACGTTTACGCTTCTCTTTAAAGCTGCTAATATTTTAAATTTAAGGCAACTCCTCAGTGCCACCTAATCTAATTCCTCTCCGTGGTTCCTAGCATTTCTTTCTAACAGCAATTACATTGCTTATAAAATCTTGAGCAGCCTTGAGAGTATTCATAGAGAATACTCTGAGGTGAATGTCCCAGCTCAGAGCGCTGTGTAGACAAAGCCATGAATACTTTGAGGTGAGAGAGAGCGAGGGAAAAAACTAGAATATGGTGTTTCATTCCTAGTTATGGAAGCTCAAGATCTAAACCTGAATATTAGTGTAAGTTCTGGGCTTTGGAGTTGTGGTTGTTTTTTTACAGAAACAAGTTTTTTTGTTGACCTTCAATTTTATTTTTTTACGACGAAGTGGGATGCTCTGTTCCAGAGGTGAATGAGCATTGTCTTACACACCTGAAATACCCACTTCTTCCACTGCTTCTGCAGACTGTCACTGTTGACTCTGAGCTGTTTAGTCGAGGCTGTCTCTTGCTTGCTGTTTGCTTATGTCCTAGCCGCAATGGATTTCCACCGGGGGCCTGTCTGTTTATAAATTCTGTGCCGTGTGCTTTCACCTCGTGGTAACTATTTCTGAACCGTGTCCTAAAACCTGACCTGGATCATTTCTGCAATGAAGGTGATTCCTTAGTGGTTGCAATACTTGCTGGTAAAATAAGCATTATCTCGTTTTTCATGCTTTCCAAGTATCTGAATAGAAGCCTATCATGTGGCTTACCATAACGCTGTGCATTACGAAATGCATACAAGTAACTTAGATGCTGTACACCTTCAAGCTGTGAAGTGGGAGTAGTGTGGGACTTCAGGCTCTCAAATGCACATGGCCATTAGTCTGTCTGCTCAGCAGAATTAGCTGTCACCTGCGGTTGTGCTCATGCTGTGATGGACAGCCATAGGGAAGCTTCAGGGTGAAGAAATATTTCATGTTGTGTAGTTTCTGCAGTGACTCTCTGGTGAGTGCACTTAGTTCCATCCCCTTGGCCAGTCGACTTCCTCACCGTTTCCAGAACCAGGCTTTGTGGTTGGCTGAGAACATCTGACTGTTTAAAAAACCCTGACAACTCTGTTCCAAAGAACTCTGACTTCTGGGACGCATTTGTAACTGAAAGCTGTAAAAACAAACAAACGAACAAAACAAAAAACCTTATGATGTATTTAATTTTATGGCCCTTTTCAAACAGTGTGGAACTAAGTAAAATGAAATGTTTTTGCAGCTGAAAGATGACACGACCTTGGGCAAATTTGTACATTGTTGTTGTGTTTTTCTCGGCTTCCAGGTTACACACCAGCTCTGGCCTGTGCACCCAACAAGGATGTGGCCGACTGCCTCGCGCTCATCCTGGCCACGATGATGCCCGTTTCATCAAGCAGCGCATTGCCTTCCCTTACGTTCAATGCCATTAATCATTACACCAACACCTCTAAAACTGTCACCTTCGATTCCTTGCCAATCATGAGGAGTGATCATAGCTCTTACTGTACTTTCAACAATATTGGCAGGGAGGATGGCTACCCCTATACAGAAGAAGATGAACTCAATGACTCAGATTCCGAGACCTATTGAACGCTGCATTTCGTAGGGCTGAAGAGTGACCCCTAATGCTGGAAGTCGTCACATCTGGGCTTTTGAAAAAAGCTGTTGGAATTTGAATGCAAAAAGAGGACCGACCTTTGGAGGATGCTTTTTATTGTGGTTGCATAAAACAAAACAAAATCCATGAGACTCTGGAAGGATTTTTAAGAGCATATTTTGCAGACGAAGCAGAAATTCTTGAATAAATTCTTGGAAACCGTGGCAAAAAAAAATTTGAAGAATGTCAAAACTGCTTTATTTAACTGTTCTACCGGTCTGTTTCTGGTGCCAGGAGTAACTTCTGCAGACTGGGCAGCCTCGTTGATGTAAATGAACGACACTGTTGTACAACACAGAGGATACTAGATTTAAATTTTGTCAATAAAACGAAAATCATTTTGAAGGCAATAAAAGCGTTTGGTACAGTAGGCATTGTTTGTGCTGCAAACTGCCAAAGGACCAAATAACTTAAAAGGTTGTTTTTGTTTTTGTTTTTTTAATTAAATACATTGTTGTGGAAACTGGAATAGATTCTTTGAAAAGATGTTTTAACCAAACCTTAATTACTTCTGGGAAAGAAGCTTAGATTTGGTTTTAAGTGTTGACTTTTTTCTTTTTGTTTACCATCTAAAAACCTTCCAGCACTATTAAATGTACCATGAAAGAAAGCAGATTTATGTTTAAGTTTTGTTTTCTTTTTCTTTTTGACAACATGAAAATGGAACTTGTCGTACTTTTCTAATACTAAAACTAAACCAGCTAACAAGGTGAAGTCAGGGTGAAAAATGTACAGTGTAATAAACAAGGGAAGGGTGGGAGATGGGGGAGGGAAACGGACATTGTTGCACAGGTTTAGACTGTTAAACTTTGGTGGTTTGAATTGAGATTTTTTTTTTTTTAATTTAAAATATGTAACTTGGAAACTATGAAACTGCATAAAGAGAATGGAAATGTCTCCATAACCCCAGAACTGGGACTGAGAGTTCTTTGCAACGATTGGTCCTCTTCCTTACATCGAAAAGATTGCACGTGAAGGTGGAATTGTAAATCCCTAGCACTTCTTTTTTTTCTTTTTTTTTGAATCCTGGAGTTGCCGGGGCGGGGGGAGGTGAATTTAAAAGTATATTTCCCTATTAGAAAGAAGTACAGTGTCTGGTCTGTGGGAAGAGCTGTGTATCTTTGTTGTGCTCCATTTAGAAATGAACAGCAGAAGCAGGTCCCCTAATGTAGTTCAGCCTCACCTGAAGATTTTTATCTTTTTTATTTATAACAGACTACTGCATTTTTTTAATTGCCTGAAGAATGAAAAAGTGACATAAGCAAGCTGAAGTCTCATTGTTAAATATGCATATTTACTTTATTTGGCTCTGCTTTAACTACAACTGTTACTTTTCAAGTGAAATGGCTTATGTACGTGCAAGGAATCCTTGCGTGTCCTGGTAAAGTACAAATAAATTACTGCAAACCGATTCAAATTTCCTTTTTATCCTTTTTGTATTGTGAAACTGGAAATCTTTATGATATTGTAAATTATCAGCTGGTTTTCTGAACATAAAGTGGAAACACGGGACAATATTTTGATCTGTTTGATAATTTTGTGGGTTTTTTTGAAGAATTAATGAGCATGTACATAGAAATAGTGACTGCTTGAATACTGTATTTACCTGCACTCTTTCAGTACTTCAAGATTCTTGTATATTTTACGGAATATAATAAAACCCAAATGTGAGTTCTACTAAGGAATAATTTATTTGTATCTATTAAGCACTAATGGCAAAGTCTCTTTTGTTGAACTGTTAGAATTTATAAGATCTGCTTTCCAAAGGCTTTGTAATCCTAAACGGAAGGTGAGCTATTGGAATTTCAGGTAACCCTAAATGTTAGATTATTAATTACTCCTCTAGGCTTTCTTCTAAGTACCCCTTTCTTAACCATTTGTGCCTGTGTTTGTTGTTTGCATATGCAGTGTTTGTCTCGGAGCAGAATTAGATGACTTCAGGGCGATGGTGATCTCTGTTTGCTTCCCTCTGGTCTCTCAAAGTACTCTGTGGGAGTGACCAACATTTTGGGTCCGTGTTGGTCTGTCTTGAGATTCACTCCATCTATCTAAATACCGGGGTTGAAACAGCATGGAACCATGCATCCTCACTTGTATCAGAATGGCAAGTAGCACCTGCGCTATTGGGAAGGTAACAGTTAGATGTTTCTGTAATGAAGCTGTCAAGTTTTTAAGATGTTTGATTTTTCCTACAAGTTGTTAACTCTGTTTAGGAATTCAGAGTTGTATGTCTCATCATTTAGAGTTTACCCAGGGAGCCTGGATATCTCTGTTTGCATGAATTTACTTAATGGACAGGAGAGCAGTTGTGCCTTGTAAATGGTAAGTGAGACTCTTACTAGAAAATGATTCCTAAAATGGAACAAAGTTTGTTTAAAAAACTCACTGCTTGTCTGCTTTCCTAATGAGAGGTCAAGAAACAGAAGGTTCCTTGTTTCTGTAAAACAACACTGCCTGCAGGCGGTGTCCTCGGGTTTTTGTAATCTTCATACCTGAATGGAGGTCTGCTGCTTTCCAGAGAATGGTGCTGCATCCTCTTCTTTTTTCCCTACATCCAAACAACCACTTGAGTTTTCACCAGAAAAGAGCAGGACTCAGCTGGATCACTGATTCAATGTAGTGGGATAAAATAAACCCTTTTTATGCTAGGGGAAAAAAAATGAAGGGACTTCGGTAATGACAACAACCAGCTCTGATCAGCTTTCTGTGCACTCTGGCTGCTGCTGTGTTTTATGGGTTATTCAGTTCTCAGGATAAACATTATGCAGTAGAAAATGCCAAGTTAGCACAGAACTTACTGGACTGAGTAACTTGTTTTCGTGGAGTGCTGTGTTGGTGTGCCTGATCCTGACACAATCAAGAATTCATCTTTTTTCTTCCTTTTTTTTTTTTCCTCTCTTTCAGGAGTGACCCCTCTGTAATGAAGTTTTTCCTTGTAACATTGTCTAAAGTCTTGCCTCCTACTCCATTATTTCTTCCTACTACTTATTACTTATCCAGCACCTGGATTCCTCCAAAACAACCATATAAAATTTTGCTCCAGTTAACATTTGAAAAAAGGGTGCTAAAAAAACCCAAAGCTGTTATGTTATGTCTCACTGATAACATTCATAAGTTCTTCAGACCTGTGATCATGTTTTTAAGAATGAATTAGCTTCCTGTCTTCCCAAAGATTCTGTCCATTTAAAAGCAAGAAATACTGTAATAATCCAGATATCGTTTTCTGTTTATATTCTAGTTTGAGAGCTCAGTAAAACCTTCTAAGCAGAAGTGAATACCATTGAGAGCAGATAGTTGTGAGAAGTTCCACGACTAAACATGCAATTAAACATTTTAACAGTGCCAGATGTGTCAGGGGAGCTTGTAATCCTAACTCCGTATTTGGAAGAGTGAGGTTCACATCTTAAAAGCAGAAAGCTATGTTAAAAGCAGCAGCAGTTCTGCAGAAGTGGAGGGCATGCTCTTTGCTCAGTGGTGTACAGCAGTGAGGGGAGGGAGGGCTGTAGGGTTCCCTGCCTGCAGCTGCAGGAATGCTCTCCTCACTCCCCGCTTTGTCCACTCTGACTGTTGGTGGTACTGAGCCACTTCTCAACGCAAAGGCCACTGTGTTTTTTGCTTTAAAAGTGTTCATCTGTGATGATGATAGTCCCTGAACTATCCAGACTAGATTCAGAGTATTATCTTTGGAGTGAATGGCTTTTATCGAGTGCTAACAAGTACTTTGAACACCATTTCCATAGATCTGTATTTAAACTCCATTAAGTACATTTTAAGATCAGTTGACAAACAGCAAGTATTGAAATTCTTGAAGTTTATCCAGTGAATTCATATAAATTCTTAAATCTGAGCTAACTGGTAATTATGGCTGCTTGCAGTAATCTCTAATGACTGGTGACAACTTCCTTTCCCTTTAATATGCTGCAGAAGTTGATGGATGGTTGAAGAAAAATTCTTCCAGTTTAGGAATAAAACGCTTTATAAGTCAGTAGCTGTGACAACTGCATGAATTGGACAAGGTAAGAATTTACAAAACCTTGGTCTTTACAGACTTAAACCAGAGATTCTAAATATAGACGTAATACAGATCTGTTCATTTCCCTTGTTAAGATGAAGCTTTGGCTTTATTTTCATGTAGTCCTTCTCACTATAATATCCATATGTTTTGAAGATTGTTAAGGAAGGAATCAGATGTATCCATTTAAAGTGTCAAAACAACTGCTTGTTCTTAAGAAAACAGTACCTGCTGTCATGTACAGTCCTACAGGTGGGCCCTTACTCTGTTCCACACATCCTTACCTACCTACTGAAAGAAAAACTGAGATTTCAGCCGTTGGGAAGAGTATTTCTTTCAGCTGTTTCAGTCATCTGAAGCTCAGCAAAATGCCTTGCTATTTTTCCTTAGGGAGCAAAGTTAGCCTTGACTAACATCCCCAAACTGCAGCGTGATTTTGTTTTTCCTGTTTTGACTCATCTCTCACTTGATGGAACTCTTTCCAACCTGGCATCCCGATTTTGTAGCATTGATGCTTTACTTCAAACAAAGCAGTATCTAAATTATCAGTGCTTCCATACTCACTGTATACCATGGGAAACTGAATTCCCTGTCTTCCTGTACTGCATTTTAACAATTTTCAAGCTGAGTATTGCAGTATTTCACCATGTAACTGTGAACATGGTTGAATAATATGGAACCTGAGGAATCTTTCAAGCTGTCTTAAAGTCATTAATATCATTAAACATTTAAAAACACCTTACATTCTCTTGTAAGTTAAAATTGCAGTAGCAGTAATCAGAAATTTAGCTCTTCCAATTCACAACAGAACAAAAGAAGCCCTTGCTTCCAAGCCTTTTCAGTGACAAATGTACAGGTTTTTCTTCTCACTGCATCGCAGCTCGGAAGGACTGACACTGATGTCTCAGCCTCAGACACTGTAACAGTTTTAAAGCAAAATGTAATGTTTCATTCCCTCTTATTTATCTCCTCTTCCCTGCCAAACGTCCATTATTCAAGCTCCTTTTGAGCTTTCTGTGATGCCAGGGTATTAACTAAATACTACAAGGCCCCAGCCTGGGCAAGGCTGGGTCAAGCCACACGAGGCTTTGCACCTCTGTTCTGTGGTGGTTGCAGCAGCCTCTTGCTGCTCAGTCACTTTAATCTAGTCATCTCCCTGTAAAGGTCTACTTGTACAAGCTTGCACCAACTCTGTGTGTTCTGAAAATCTTTGTTCTGAACTGCATGTCCCATTCCATTACCAGTTTCTGACATTCTGAGCCTGTTCACATGCCTCTCAGGAACTGAACTCCAAAGTCCTGTTCGTGACGCTTTCTTTGCTGTATTTTCTGGCAGATGCTTTCAGCATATTCAGAGTATCCTCACAACTACCTGGATAACTCAGCACCAGATCCCTTATGCAGAAGCCCCTAATACTTCTGGCTTGTGTGCTGTTACTCCTAGCTGGCCAGAGCTTTTCTGATTTGCTGATCTCCCTCAGCAGTATCAAGACGCCTCACAGACAGCATTCCCTACTCCTTCTCACATTGTTTCTTTTGTCGCAGTACAAACATCTTCCACATCCTGAGCACATTAAAAATAATCTGTTGATTTAAAGCTGTTCTTGATTTAAGATCTGTTTTTTGTATGGCAGAAAGTCCACTCTTTCTGCTTTGATTTCCCTCCCAGAGAGAAAACATTTAGGAAGCTTCACTAAAACTCTTTATATCCATTGAAGGGAAATGATAGTCATATGGGTATGTTTCTTCTGCCTGTGTGACCTTCAGCTTTCCTAAGGGCTTCTTCCTTTTTTAGAAAATGGTATGACTATTTTCCTTTATGAAACCTGAAAGTGAATTTGTCCAAAGCAGATTATTGAGCAGTATAATACACTTCTTGCTGCAGTTCTTTGAGTTTGAACACATTTTGGAACTGCCTCAGCCAAACTGAGAACTACACATCTCCTGTTCACAGCTCCTCCCAGCAACTAGGACAACAGATTTAGCACCTGGAAGACAAGGATGCCCCAAAGGAGCAATTGTGTTTATTAGTCAGTTACTTAGCAGCTCTTACACGGATGAAGTTATAACGGCCAATGAGAGCCCCAAAATTGTAATGGTTCAGAAGAAATTATTTTCTTTAATTTTAAGGCCAAAATAATATCCTTTAAACATCCTTTTGCAAGCATCTCCACTGCAGTAATAGTTTGTCATTGCATGACACTATTTATAGCATCCAGTCTAGCTATGGCTGTGGAAAGAATGCTGTGTTTCAGCAGCAGGAACTGCCACCTGGCACACAGTTTATGTAGAAAACCTACTGTCCCACAATTCATTATCTGCTTTTCACAGCTCTTATTGAATGAATTTACAATGTTTGAATGGTCTCAAAGTCAAAACAGGCATGCAATGATTTCTCTTTAAAAATGGGAAAGTCAGAGTACTAAAGTAGTACCTAACATAGTTGCTGATTCGTTGTTGAGCTTTATTTAAACATCTTGCACAGGAGCATGGAAATTATGCCTTCATGAAGGCTAGTGTTTCAGTGTAGCAGTTGATACACTCCTTCCCAGACTGTTGTTCCACAGATGTTCACAGTGGTAACGCTTGCTTAGTTACTATTAAAAGTAAGAAATAACTCACTGAGGTTGCTAACAGCCAAGCAAGTGGCCAGTAAATTGTAAAGATTTCAGATGGGAGCCGGGGGAAGGGAGTGAGAGTAAGGAAAAAACCTTAACACTCCAACCAGAAACCAGAACCTGATGCTATTCAAGGTATATGCATCTATTTTCTTGCATATATTTGTGTAATCAATGCCATTCCCTTTCCTACTTTTTTTTCCCTTTTTAATGGTTTTCTACTTCTTTCATTTCCACTCCCACCAGAACCCCAGAGAACCAAAGAACTAAATTAAAAGAGGCAAATTCAGTTGAAATGAGATTATTTTCCTAATATAAGGTATCTCAAACACACTGTAACAAGCCTTTAGACTTGCGAGGCAATTCACTTACTTGTGGAAAGATGTAAGCTCCCAAGGTACACGCTTGGTTTGTCGTCTCTTTGGTCATCATTTCAAATGTAGAATCCATTAGACAGTCATGTAACAAACATACCTGAAGATTCTGAAGTACAGCTGTTCAACAGTTCCTGGTAAGATATAGACTCTGAAAATCTGGTGCAGTTAAATATCTGTGCTAGTCCTTTTCATACCATCGTCCATACAGAGCAGCTGTCAGTAGGCCATTAGTAGTTCTATTTTTGCTTAGGAAATAGTGGTTGTTTTTCCAGCCCATGTGATCAGCAAAGTCCAAGGTAATACCAGACGTCAGCAGCAAAGGAAAGATATAAGGAGTACTCATATTTCCCCATAGCTGGAAATCTATCAGAGCAGTGGCATGTGTAACCTCCTGCCCACAAGTGCTAAAGCTGAGACCTCCACACTTCACTAATGCACAGGCCTGGACGTAGTAAATGCCATTCACTGTGTGGAGCCCGTCAAAAACTCCCAAAGCGTATAATTCATCAGTTAAAACATCTCTCTTATAATTTAAGTAGCAACAAAGAGTATTGGCACAAACCTGAAGTTCTCCTTTTTCCGCCCATACAGGAACAAAAGTAAAATTGTCATACATCATTTCTGCATAGAACAGGGGAGGCGACTGTTCGTTTCCTTTTTCTGATACTTCGCCATGGGCCTCCTGTCCTTCCATAAAGCAAACTTGGTCATCCCCTGAGGTACTTGTAGAAGTAGTGCATGAATGATGCACATTCTCTCTGAATCTTTCATTATGCTCCAAATCGGTTTTGTAATCTGTGCTAATGACGGGAATTTCTGCTACTATGAGCTTGCCACCGTAACTGTCCATGTTGTGGTAGATAAATGATTTGACAGGAGTGTATATGCCACTCCCTGTCATGCCCAGGGTAGGGTGGTGGATATTAGCTGCTAAAATATTGACACTGAAAGCTGTTGCAAAAGCTTGTTGAAATTCTACAGCAGACAGGAGTGGGAGCTGGTTCATCCAGGCAGTCGGATAGACGATCTGTTTTACATTGTATTGTCTGATTAGATTCACTGCTGGCTCAAAGAAGAGTATGTCAAAGCAAGTAAACATACCAAACTTGCCAGCAAAAGGGGTATCAAAGAGCTGGTAGTCAGGCTCTGGAGGGGTATCAAAAGCATATTCAAAATACAGGTTGTGTTTACGGTACGTGGCTACCAGTGTACCAGCATCGTTGAACACCACGTTGGTATTGAACTGGTATCTTCCATCACGTGGACAGTGAGGATCTGTGTGCTCACAGGGTTGCTTAGTTCCTAAGTTTGCCACCAGGAATATTTTGTTCTTAAGTGCCATGCAGCTCAGACGTTGAAGAACCTACAGAACCAGAAAATGGAGAGGAAGTTTTACTTCAGCAATATATTTAATGCTTTTCAAATTACTATTTGCAATTGGAATGTATATACACTTGAATTTATCTGTAAAACTTAAACATAATGACATCTTTATGATGAAAGATATTGGAAATCATTGTTTTCTAGACCAAAAAGTACTTCAAATGCCAATTAAAAAATTATCTAATTTTTATTTCCTGCAAAGTAAGTAAATACATAAATCTCACCACTTTAAGGGCTTTAATTTTCAGTAGCTTCTGGCCGTTGCTTGGAACATCAGTGGCTTTAAAACACCATAAGACAACTGAAACCTTTGAGCAGACAGTGTAGCTGATTTGCGTGCAGCTTTAGAAAAGCAAATTTCTGATACTGATTATTTGCACCTGCAGCAGTTTGTTCCTGCAACTCCTTCAGTATTTTTATTCTGAACTTATTTTTAAAAATTACTAGCTACAACCCCCAGAAGCAGAGAAGTAAATGCTTTTTGCTCAGTTGCAGGAAAGAAATACTGAACGTTGCAGGCTGTACTGTTGGCACGTTTCTTCCAACCCAGAGAAAGCTGTATATTAACTGCCATTTATTTTCTTTGAAGGTGTGACTGCCCGACCTGATGCACCACAGTGCAGCTATTTGAAGCTAAATCTGAACAAGTACAAATAATTCATTAGAACTGAAATCATTTTCCCAAGGTTCACCCCTACACTACATAGTGTTGCTGAGAAGGTGAGTGTATCGCTCAGGAACAACACAGTTTAGTGGCTTCTGAGGCCCAGAGCACTTGGGATTTCTCTCCGTAGCACTGTACCATTCAGATCTATCAGCCACCTTCACTCAGACTGTGCAGATATTTTTAATAGCTTTTCCCACAATGGTGGGCTACCCCTGTAAAGCTATGTGTTTATAGAAAACTTATAGCTTCAGAACATTTTTGATGTGATTTTCTGCAGTTATGCTGAAATGAGAATGTGCATTAGCATTAGCAAGGGTACTGAACCTGGGTTAACTGCAACAAAATCCAGAGCCTTCCAGTACTGCAAACCAAGGACCTGAATGTCAAACTGAACTTTTGCTTGCTTGTGTATGATATCAGCAGTAACAACCAATAGGCCAGAGTAGGTCAGAATTTACCACAGCATTGTTTAAACCCAAACTCTGCTTAGCAGGCACATAAATAACTACTTAGTTTCAGTGTATTGATTACTGTTAACATTAGAGGAATAAATAGCTTGTATTCCTAAGCATGGCACAGTTACTTCAACATTAGATCCAGAAAAGTAGATGAAAATACTATTTCTGCAATTTGCAGATCACCTCCTCTGTAATTACACACCACCTATGTTGAACTGTGGCTTCTATTACACTATTGCAGGTCCTTTCCTGTTTCATGAGCAAATCAATTCATACACAGTTAAATGAGTCAGAATGTTCTGAAGTCATTGCACCCTCAGAATGCTTGGACTATTAAAACAGAGTAACAAGGAGGCATCAGAAATGACAACAGTACAATATTGTTTTATTAAAACAACAGTCAAAATCCCAAACTACTAGTGATGTATCTTATTAGAGTGCCCTTTCATAGGTTGGGGAGAGGGAGTTTAAAAGCCAATAAGACTCATAAACAAGCTGAACTTCTTCCATATATCTAACCAAAGTTTTCTAAGAATGAAACCAGCATGAACAGAGTCCATTAAAACAATCCGGTGACTAGGAATTGTTACAGTTCTTTTTTAATTCCCTAAGCAAAACTAGATTTGTGCACTTGCAGCACAGAAGTAGCTTTTAGTTATTCCCCTTCTCTACAGAAAATGTTCCTATATTTACCTCTGTGTCACTGAACAAATACTTCTCTCTGCATGGATTCCACTTCACAGAGTCGGAATGCGGAATAAAGTCTAAGTAAGGATAAATTGATCTTCTTGTGAAGTTGAAGCCGTGGATTCCATCTTCAGGAAAAACAATGATCTGTGCTCCCTGTGTGTAAAACAAAGGCATGTTTTGTAGGAATAGCAAAACCAACCTAAGTATGGAATGAAAAAAAAGGCAATATTTTGGCTAAAGAGAGCTAAGGAAAGTTAAGGTGACTCAAGTAGGTTTTGATTTGAATGCTGTTTGAAAACATCCTTTCTTTAACAAACATAGTAAATGTAACTGTGCTTAAGAAACAAACTCATTTAACCTGACTCCTAACTTTACCTTGAGAAATAACTGATTTGGTGTTATTTGCATTCTCCTGAAATAGAGAAATAGTCATAGAATAGTCATGAGAATATTATCATTCAGGTTAAAGACTTGTTTCCAGAACTATGCCATTTGTGGATGAGGTCTATCAGAGGTGCAGTATCTGCGTCAAATATGCAGCAACTGTATCAAAGGTGCAGCACAACTTGAGCACAGCCTCAGTTAGGTATGTAGGGTTGGAGAGGGCACTGGCAGTAGTTTTCAGAAACAGTTTGACTATGGAAGCAGTACATGCTTTAGCAGCCATGCAGCCATCGCAGGTCTAGGCTGGTGCTGCCTAAAACTATGGGACAGCTGTCCTTATTAAAAAATATGAATGCCTTTTAAATCAGACAGAGCATCAGTCACTCACATCCCCATGACTTCTCAGAAGTCCCTTCAAATGTGCTACCTTTGCTACTGCTTTGGGATCATTTATGTCATCTCAGATACAGGACTGCATTAAAATAGCTATTGTGCTTCTGGACTGCAAGGCCTCATAACCCAAATTTCTCAAACAAAAACAAAAAAATCCACATCCTGAAGTTATGCAAAACTGGTAGTTTTTCTGTTCAAAAAAAAAAAAAAAAAAAAAAAAAAAAGATTTGTATAACTTGTGTAACTTGCAAGTCATTTCTTCTCTGCATAGGGACAGTAGAGACTATTTCCTCTGGGCTAGAACCACATTGAGACTGTGCAATGTGGCAAGGAAAGGAGGCTGTGCATAAGAACTGCCAGAAATACCATTCTTTCTCCTCGGAATATATTTAGACTGAGTACCAGCCCACGGAGGGAAGGGGAAAGGAATGGAAAACTTTACTTCCACAAAGCTGTTAATGGTGGAACATTCATTTCCAAGGCATTAAACTTCGGTATTTAGAAACATGCAGGAATTTCCATTGAGAGTGCTGGAATAAAACCAAAGCCAAAGACAGAAAACAATCTTTTAATAAAAACATTCCATTGAAGAAAACAGAAAGGAGCTGGGTATCCAGATTAAAATAGAAAATTAATTTCCCTATACTAAATAGCTATAGGTACATTTTTCCAAGCTTGGAATAACTCAAGTCGGACAAGCTGCTAATTGGCTTCATTTTTTCAGAGCTGCTGGCAGGTCAGAATGTCTGAAAAAACAGACCATACTTATGTATATAAATATGGCTGTAGTTGCCTGGGAACACAAACGTGAAAGCTTATCCTCAAATAGCACTTACTGTATATATACACACAGGACACACACAACTGCTGCTGAGCCACTACCTGTCTTGCAGCAGCCGCCACTTGCTGGTCATAGATGTCCAGGTTTCTGCCCATGAGTTCCAGCGCAGACCGTCGATCAGTGAGGGCTGTTGGGTTAGGACTCAGGATGGACTCATGTTCGTACACAGCAGCCACGTAACGTGCCTCCTGCTTAACTCTTCCTGAGACAACTTGATAGCAGAAAAAGCAGACAGACAGCTTCCAGCACAGATCCACCATGTCGTGTGCCATAAATCTAGAGCAAAAAAACCCAAACAGGTGTGGAGGGGGGGAGCTTCAGTGACAACTCGTGCCAGGAATTTAAATTTAATATTAAATATGGACTGTAACTGAGACTCTGCAGTGTTTGAACTGAGCGTGTTGTTTTCAAATTCCTGACCAAAGACGTGCATATTGTGTATTGACAGAACTTCATTCTAACTGCTTTTTGCTACATGTATAGTTGCGCCGTCTCCTTGCTTGATCTCCCTTTAGTTCTTGTTTGTCTATAGATCTATTGCACCACGTAACAAAATATCTCTGGGAAAAGCTACAAGCAGCTCACAAATGTGCGCTTCCTCCCCCAGCTGGTAAGGGTGGTGGTTTACAAGTAGCAATTCCTAAAATGACTTGAATGCTGTATTTAGGAGACAAGTAACAGCATACACCATTTTACCATTTAGATAACTGCCAAAAAAAAATTTGAAACTACTGCATTTATCTGTTTTTCTATCACAGGAATGGCTGTCCTGATGGATTCCAAATTTTCATTTTATTCTAGCTCTGCACATGTGATAAATAGATTCATTTGGCTTTTTTCTAACATCTATAAAAATGCTGAGTGCAATTCAGATCCACGTTCCTCCTGCACAGTGCAGACAGGTAAGGTAACACACTTTCAGGTAACAACAACAAAGCAAGAATCCAAACAAAATGCAAAAAAAAATTGCATTACTGAGCTTTTCTTAGATTTAATTCTTTTCCCACCTGGTTTGATTCCCCAGACCTCAAAAGCAGCTTCCTTAAAAAGAACACACTGGAGAAATCCCTTTATGCTCCAAACTTCAGAGGCTGAGCAGCAGAAACAAATGAAGAATTACACAACCTGGAAGGCTGGGGCACCCTCTCCGATATGGGCTCCCCATGCAGCCTTTTTGACACCCTGACTGCATCCTGTACTTATACATAAGATTAATGAGAGTTCAGTATTTGTTACCCGTGTTAAGTAGCATTAAGAAATTAAATGTTGGATATCACCAAAGATGAAAGAGCACTAAGGAGAGATGTGCTGATGTTAGATAACGATGGCCTCCAGTATTCAAGATCAATTACCAACTTTTTAGATGTATTTCTTTTTTGGTAACACTAATCCAGGAAAGAATGTGCTAAAATACTGTGTTTTTCAATCCCTGTGACCCACAGCACCCTGACCATTCCAAAGCAAATATGACAAGCTTTCTCTAGCTCTCACTGGGAGGAGTTCAATGGAAACAGAGACCAGTCTTAAACTGTTCCCACTTTTATGCTTATTCATGTCATATCAAAAGAAGTTTTCTACTTAAAAAAAGGAAGTGCAGACACACTAGCTTCAATTCCAGAATGAAAGGCAGGTGATAATCAATCCTTAATACTGGTATAGTTTTTCTTTCTTTCTTTCTTTGTTTTTTCCCTCATTTTTCCTAAATGCCAACTTGACCAGTATTCAGCAGTGAGCAATTTGAAGTGCAGGAATCCACTCAGAAAGCATTTGCTAAGTAACATTTTAATTTAAACCACCTGGTCATTTCCACAAGCTCGTTTGAGAGCAACACAACCTGTGTAGGACAGGGAAACCAAAACCTTTGTGATTAGGCAACAGATTTGTTTGCGTAACGAAAACATTCTAGTACGCAGTAATGCCTGTCAGGGTCCAGGTGTGACTTAGCGATTCAGTGCCTCTAAGCTCAATGTTACGTTTGTTTTTCTTGACCTTTGACTGTGTGCCCATATATACATGACTTCAGCAGTGAACTTCAAGTTACCTAAAGCAGCATAAAAATAGAATACAGCACTGGCATCTCTGGAAACAGTTGTGTTAAGAATACTCCATTTATGTGAATAGTTCTGACAGCGATGTACAGTAAGTTCCTCTCGCTATTCTACAATGCACTCCTCAAGGAAAGGAGTACTTAGGGAGACTGACATCAAAACCTGAGGCTCCAGCTTTGTCCTGCTCAACTCTCCTAATGAAATCTGATCAGCATTTAGCAATACCCAGGTGCAAGAAAACATATAAAGCAGTAGCAGGGAGTAGTAGAGAGAAAGCCTCTCACTGTTATGGAAGCCAATGAGAATAAACACATTGTTGGACTTCAGTGACAAAACTATCTTTTCTATCTGACATCCCTTCAGAGCCAAAATGCCTAATTAGGACAGGAATAGGTTCACATCAGCCATTCCTGAACAAAGCTGTCAACTAAGATGTAATTAGAATTTTTCTCTACTAGCAATGGACAAACTTGCAGAGTTTCAGAACACAGGATTGAATTGCAGTGTATTAGATATGTCTCATAAGCCAAACATACCGACACAGAACATTAACAGGGCATCAAAAAAGAAGGGGTTCACATCGGTATCTCAAATGTTTCCAACAACCAGAAAATAAACCATGGCTGAAAAATGAGAATTCTCCAGGCTTACTGGTGAAATATTTTTTATTTCCCTAACGGAAAACACTATGCTATCTAACAAATCCTTTGCCTTAAGAGAGGATTAGGACCTACAGAGCTGTCAGCTCACCTGAGTCACAATTCAAAAAAAAAAAAAAAAACAAAAAACCCAAAATGCTTTATAATTTTATTTCTTTTCCATGCTCCTGTAATTTACACAATCTCTTGCCTGGCAGCTGTGCTTCAGTATGATCACCTTACAAACCCACCTGCAGCTATTTTGTAGCAGTATTACCAGCACACAGTTGCAGTATATTCATTACAGCGCTATACACGAAAGGTAGGAAGGCTGCTGTTTAAGTTCAGATGCTAATTTGTAACAATGTTCCCCCTGGTTACAGCATGGGATGCTTTTCTATTGAATCAACCAGAACCATCACTCTCAGCACAGTGAGAAAGTGCAGCACCCAGACACCAGTTCTACAATGACTCTGGAAACTTATCAGTTTACCAACTCTCAACACACACGGATCTATATATTCGGATCAAAGCAATGTACACTCTGCTTCTCAGCTCTTTTATGATTACAAGAATCTAACAGACTGTGAAGCAGCACTCATCCAAGTCCTCTTAAGTGAATAACAGCAAATGCCTGGTAAGCCGTAGTAACAGTGATAACTACCAGGCAAGATACTGACTTTGCTAAGAAATAAAAGTATTTTTTTCAGTTAAATTATGTTCACAAGTTATGCAATGTTGCCGATGTTCATGCATAGGTTGCTCCAAAAGTAATGCCTCCTATTCATTTCCATACAACAAAGAGCACATTAAAATTATTTGAGCAGATTATTAGCTAGAAAAAAAAAAAAAAAAAACCAAAAAAACCAAACAAACACCACAAAACACTTTTTTCAACATAGTCATCACCACAAGCAGTGCATTCTCAACAGTGATAAACAAGAGCCTGCATGCCATGCTGAATAAAGTCTCCACCAGTAGAGGCAAGTCCATCTGTGTCCCCAGCAAGCTTTGAGACACAGAAGTTAACAGAATAATAACTTACAGTGACCTGCTGCTGAAACACACCAGCACTGCCTCACCATGCTTGCATTCACTGGTTGGTGTCTAAAAATGTTCAACTGATCAGTGTCAATGGGTGCCATTTTTCCTACATGGAGGAATTCAATTCCACGCCTTCACTTCATCCACACTTCCATGTCAGATTCTATTCGTCAGGCTGCCCCTG